CTGTTTTTTCCTACTTGGAGCCAACTTCAATAATCCGAAATTCTTGTGTGTTTTCAGTGTTGTTTTTCTCTGTTTTTCCCTACTTGGACCCAACTTCAATAATCCGAAATTCTTGTGTGTTTTCAATGTTGTTTTTCTGTTCTCCCTACTTGGAGCCAACTTCAATAATCCGAAATTCTTGTGTGTTTTCAGTGTTGTTTTTCTCTGTTTTTCCTTACTTGGAGCCAACTTCAATAATCCGAAATTCTTGTGTGTTTTCACTGTTGTTTTTCTCTGTTTTTTCCTACTTGGACGCAACTCCATAATCCTAAATTCTTGTGTGTTTTCACTGTTGTTTTTCTCTGTTTTTTCCTATTTGGACCCAACTTCAATAATCCGAAATTCTTGTGTGTTTTCAGTGTTGTTTTTCTCTGTTTTTCCCTACTTGGACCCAACTTCAATAATCCGAAATTCTTGTGTGTTTTCAATGTTGTTTTTCTGTTTTCCCTACTTGGAGCCAACTTCAATAATCCGAAATTCTTGTGTGTTTTCAGTGTTGTTTTTCTCTGTTTTTCCCTACTTGGAGCTAACTTCAATCATCCGAAATTCTTGTGTGTTTTCACTGTTGTTTTTCTCTGTTTTTTCCTACTTGGACGCAACTCCATAATCCTAAATTCTTGTGTGTTTTCACTGTTGTTTTTCTCTGTTTTTTCCTATTTGGACCCAACTTCAATAATCCGAAATTCTTGTGTGTTTTCAGTGTTGTTTTTCTCTGTTTTTCCCTACTTGAACCCAACTTCAATAATCCGAAATTCTTGTGTGTTTTCAATGTTGTTTTTCTGTTTTCCCTACTTGGAGCCAACTTCAATAATCCGAAATTCTTGTGTGTTTTCAATGTTGTTTTTCTGTTTTCCCTACTTGGAGCCAACTTCCATAATCCGAAATTCTTGTGTGTTTTCAGTGTTGTTTTTCTCTTTTTTTTTGCCCACTTGGACCCAACTTCAATAATCAGAAATTCTTGTGTGTTTTCATTGTTGTTTTTCTCTGTTTTTTCCTACTTGGACCCAACTTCAATAATCCGAAATTCTTGTGTGTTTTCACTGTTGTTTTTTTCTGTTTTTCCTACTTGGACCCAACTTCAATAATCCGAAATTCTTGTGTGTTTTCACTGTTGTTTTTCTGTTTTCCCTACTTGGAGCCAACTTCCATAATCCGAAATTCTTGTGTGTTTTCAGTGTTGTTTTTCTCTTTTTTTTTGCCCACTTGGACCCAACTTCAATAATCAGAAATTCTTGTGTGTTTTCATTGTTGTTTTTCTCTGTTTTTTCCTACTTGGACCCAACTTCAATAATCCGAAATTCTTGTGTGTTTTCAGTGTTGTTTTTCTCTGTTTTCCCTGCTTGGACCCAAATTCAATAATCCGAAATTCTTGTGTGTTTTCAGTGTTGTTTTTCTCTGTTTTCCCTACTTGGACCTAACTGCACGAATCTTGAAATGGTGTTTTATTTTTCCTTTTTTTCCCCCTGTCTCTTTTTGCTACTTGGACATGGCTGACTCTCGCCATCTTTTACTTTCATTAAAAAAAATGTGTCCAAATTACTGGCTTCTGCCTTCTAATCAGAATATTTCGAAAATGTTACATTGTCTGGTTACGCCAGATAATCCTAAATGTGTTTAGGATTATAATCCTAAATAACATAATCCTGTTATGGCTTCCTTGGGCTTTATTTGGATGGTACTTATCTGCAAATTTTTTTACATCCACCAATTTGGTAAGGAAGCCACCATCTTCTAGCAGCTGGACGCTTGGCTACGGATTGGAAGGTTGTGGGTTCGGTTCCTAATGAGAGTTGTTTTTTTCCCCTTTAAAAATGACCTTGGCTCCTAGCCTTGACTGGGTACTAGGTACAGTCCAGGGAAGTAAAGGCGGTTGGCATGTTGCTGACCACATCACCTATCAAGAACCATTTGGTCTAAAAAATATAGGTCTAGCCCTATATACCCAATACACCTAAAAGGGGGTCGGCAAAAGGTCCTTTACTTTACTTACCAATTTGGCAAACATTTCTTGGATTAATGAGAGAGGCAAAAATTGGTAGCACGCCGTGTCATTCTTCTTCTGCCCTTCTATCCCCCAATGGAGCATAGGCCCTCAACCAACTCACGCCAAGTCGTTCTATCCTTCGCCATTGCATGAAGCTCTCTCCATGCCCTCCCCATCTTTCTAACTTCATTCTCCAGTTCTCTTCTCCATGTGTTTTTTGGCCTTCCTTTATTCCTATGCCCCTGTGGGTTCCAATGCCGTGTCATGACTCATACAATTTCTAGCATGCAGGTCGTATTCCAAGCAATGGCCGTATATCAAGCACAATTTTTGTGCTTCTCAAAAGGCCTTATACCAGGTTGGACACATACTAAAGTGGATATTTACAGAGCTGCCACTGTATTATCTGAGTACCCACTGAACAATAATAAGTCCCCTGTGTGGGTTCCAGGGCCCTATTATAGGGAAAACAAGAATAGACCCACTGCCTACCCAAAAGCATGTCATAAGAGTCGACTAATTGGTAGCTTTCTTCAAAGTTAGAGTGCATCTGCATGAGAGGCCCTGGAACCCACACAAGGAACCAACAGTCTGCACACAAATGCGTCAGATTTGTCAAAAGGATGCACACACAACACTCAGGTTCTGGAACAGGACTGCAGTCCAGAAGTGGAGAGACAACTAGAACTTTCCACCAGAGTTTTACAGCTGGTGAACGCAAAGAAGAAGAAGAAGAAAAAGAACAATAAGTAAAGTTAAATAAAATAAAATAAAAACACTTTTTAAAATTATTATACAGCAAAAACTCTAGACATGTACATAACAAGACACACTTACATGAATGAATTACTGGATACATATTTAATTTCCCATATGAAACTACACTATGTGACTGTTTATGCTTTCATAACATAAATAATAGTATTCATGAATATAAAACACATGTATAGTAATATAAGAAATAGTGGTATTAACGTATTAAAAATATTAAATACATACACAAAATATTTACTAGTTATGAGAGAAAATATAATGAATATTAATTAATGTGGTCAAAACAGAAATAAAGATGTGTAAACCAAAGTACAGTGACAACATATTAAAAAATACAAATAAATTGTATTCATTAATAAAAAAAGCATTAGTAATAATTACATTTGATAATAATACAAATTTAGAAGTGTAATACTAATTAATGTATGACATGATATTAATTAATACTATAATTAAAAATGATTGAAACTGTTAACAATAATTTCATTTTACACAACACATAAAATGTATAAATTAATATGTAAAACAATTGTAAGTATTATGAAAAAAAAATAATGAGTTAATTTAATAATTACCATTATTAATGAGTAGTAAAAATGATAATACTGGTAAAATAACAATGTAATTTGAATACTGAGGAGTATGATAGTAATTAACTTGTGTTTGCATAATGTATGTGTAATTTTGATAGATGTTGTAATTATTATGTTGAGTATTATAATAATTATAGTTATATTTTTTGTTATTAAAATGATTATAATTATGTTTGTAATTGACACTTGTGTAATTAGGAGATTTGTAATTAGAAACTGTACATACATTACTATGTTAATATTTAGAATATTTGTAATTATAATGTTTGCTATTAGGATCTTGTAATTAGAATGTTTATAATTAGGATATTTGCACATTTAATGATAATTCAATGCCATCTTCAAATGTAACTGTCATGCCACTGTTCTGTTAATGGACATGATATGCAGTTTTCAAACTGAATGTTTATACTTGCTACAATCTAACAATAGATCTTCAGACCAGTAGATATTTTTTTTTTAAACAACTTATCTGATATTTTCATTATATTGTATTCACACTAGGCATTTTTACTAGTAATATCCTGTACAACTGCTGCTGTATATTGTTTAATTTGATTATCTTTTTACTTTATTACAGCATTGACTACTAAGTAAAGTAAAGATCCCTTTTCATTCCTCAGGTGTATCGGGCATATGGGAAGAGCGCCCATATTTCTACAGACCAATCGGTACTAGGTGGGTAATGTGGTCAGCATTACGCCAGCTGTCTTTACTTTCCTAGGACAGCCATCCTGGTACCCATTTTAGGCTGGGTCGACCTGCGAAGCCCTATACCATGATAAAAATCAACGTAGCCCAGGAGTGGGTTTCAATCGCCGTACGTTGGAACACCAAAGCCACAGATGCCACCATTGTCTACTAAGAGATGATTAATCTATATGAATATGGGGTAGGTACTATTTATTCAAATACACATGGAAGTGAGTACATTACTTGACTTTTCTATGCTACATAAAATATGGTAGGTATTTTTTATATTTAGTCATTATTTTTATATTATTATTTGTTTTATATTATCTATTACATTAATATTTATGTAGAATAAATATACATTATTTATTAACATTATTGCTGATAAATTAATCTTTTGTTTCAGTCCAAGTTTTTAAATTGTTTATTATCTTTGTATTTCATTGCTTAAAATATCACAGCTATATACATTTTTCTAATATTATTGAATGTAATAATCGTATTGTTTTTTTTTTTTTTTAAAGATTTTGCTAATAAAATTTGCTTATTTTGTTTCACTTGTGTCCAAGTTTTTAAATCTCCATCATTCCAACTTATCAGTAGTTTGTTTCATTAAATATATTCTTGTATTTTATAAAGTTTCAGATTTTTATATTATGATATCGTGTGTAATAAATACATACTATTTATTAAAATTATTGCTCAAAATATTGTCTTCAAATTTCACTTGAGTCCAAGTGCTGAAATGACATTATTTCCAATATTTTTGTTTGGGCATTAGTGAATATTTTCAAGTTTGCTGTAACAAACAATTTAAAAATTAAGTTATACACATTAAGATAAGCAGGCAGTCTTACAGTTATAAAGCACTTTCATAGCAGACACGAGTTAACAGCATACACAGATTCATTCTTGAACTATTGCTGACAAATTCTTGGGTCCACTCCATCGGGACAAGAGCATACTCGACCACCATTTGCTGAAGCCAAGCAGAGGAACTTGCAGCCCCCGTTGTTGAGTCCGCATGGGTTTCTGGCTGTTCGACGGTGAAATGGGAACTCATGTTATTATGTATGGTAGAAAATGACAAACAGATAATCAGCAAGTGAAATTTAAGGTGGGGGGGGGGGGGGGGGGGGGGGGGGGGGGGGGGGGGGGGGGAGAGAACAAACAAAGGAACTAACAAACTTTATTTTCAAAGCATCACAAAATGGGCATGCAGGTCTTATGTTTTACATTCGGTCCTTTCAAACAAACGTCTCACAGAGAGAGAGAGAGAGAGAGAGAGAGAGAGAGAGAGAGAGAAGAGAGAGAGAGAGAGAGAGAGAGAGAAAGAGAGAGAGAATGGGATGCACAAATATGTGGTTCGACATAAAGAAAAAGAGACTGCTAAAACACAGATAAAGAAATACAGGTTGTACAGACAGACAGATGAATAGACAGAATTACAAATAGTCAGGAAGATCATTCATAAGACTTGACCCTGACTCTGAAAGAGTAAAAGGGAGGATAGCTGAAATTTGACACATTTCACAAAAGTTCACATAATTGCGCTGGACATGTAAAGTACACATTTGGTTCTTGAAGGAGTTCTCGATGTATGGCACGACATACTCTATTCATGTTTCCATGCTCCAGTGATTTCTTCATCTTCTTAAAGTTCATACCGTGTGGCATTGGTAGTCATGTCTATCCACAAACTTCTTTTGTGTACTTTCACAGATGATTCTCCATGCCATGATATAAAACTGTCCAACATCTTTTCTCTCAGTCTCCCTCTGCTACTCCTCCCCTCCAACTTTCCTACTGTCATGATGTACTCCAGTTTTCTCCTTCTCATCACATGAGCAAAGAATGTAGATTTCTCTTTCTGATGGGGGTAATCAGCTGTCTTCATGTCCAGTGATTTATGAAAACAATTTACAATTTCAAGATTAGTGTAACTTTTCTGAAAATAACTCAACTATTTTGAAATACTATGTATGTAATGCTTCCTGTCCTTGATTGCCCACGTCAGTCAGCAATGCACTTAATGATGATTACTTCCTTTCAGCCATTCAAGTATGTTGCATTTGTTTATTTTATTCTTTAAAAAAAAATGTAATTATTATTCTCAAAATATTAACAGTTATTTCAAATATTAAATGGCAAAAAATACAGAGACATACAATTTGTAAAAAGACTTGAATGTAAGAAGCCCACTAGACAGACCAAGAAGATGGTGGAGAGATTGTATACAGGCAGACCCTGGTACTCTTTTGAGTCACAAGTTTAAAAAAGATGACAAATCACAGACATGACTGAAGATGGGTGATATCTACCTCAAGAGCTCCTGAAAAAGGAGAAGAAAGAGAACAAGAGGGGGGGGGGGAAGGACAGCAAGAAGAATTATTGTCCAAAATCATAGCTGAAAACTAGAGTAAGATAACATAGAGGAGCAGATATAATAAATAGTGTCTACACCTTGAGACATTTGCTGCGGGAGACGGAGCATCTAACAGTTCTTTAATCAGTAATGCAGGAGTCAGAAATTTAAAAGAAAAAAACCAAACAGATGACCAATCATGGAAACAAATGAAGACGGGTGATATCTGTAGTAAGTACCTCGAGAGCTTGTCAGTGCTTAACAAGAAGAACTAAAAGAACAAAACAGGATAAGAAGAATTATTTTCTGAAACTATAACTGAAAAACAGAGTAAGATAACATGCACGGTGTGATAAAGAAACAGACACTTTTCCCATCAGTGGTGCCAAACGCACATGATGCTATTCATATTTTATATACAAATTGACAATCAGTGTATGATGAGGCCAGCATTATTCTGCACAGTTTGGGAACCACTGAGTCAGACTTTGTGATAGTCATAGGTTGTCTCATTTCACCAGTAGCTTAAAATAGAGTCTGATTGTGAAAACTTGTTTTCGATTACTTTTTATGTGTTCTGGTTTATTTCCCTGTCACAGCGGGTCAGTTCTCAAGTCTGACTGCTTTTAAAATGACACGTTTACTGTTTAGTATGATGGTGAGATAACATAAATGTCCTGTTGTGCCATTATATGTCATATAGCGCTTACAGTCTATTCCTCCAGTCTATTCTATCCTATGCAATCAATTCAAAACCATGGATGGAATCCAGTCCAGCACCCTTGGCCTCTCTTATCAGTGTTTTTTTAGAGTTTCTTAACGGAAAAGGCTATGACAAAACTTCTGAATGCAGCTGAATTGTCTCTGTAGTAAACAAGAGAAAGATACAAGTAATCTAACCTCTAGGACACTGGTCCTTGACTGCTGTGATTCCGTACAAACGGCCATTTCCTCCTATGGCTTGGGTCAGCGGCTTGTTCGTTTCACCTCCACTCTGGTTAATGTTGGGTATGTCCTTCCTGCAACACAAAATGTACAGCATAATTTAGGAATTAATGTTACACAACAGAGTATAAGGAGTCATAGTTAATCCTGTGTGTGTCCTTCTTATAACAAAGAACATCTTGTGAAGAACATGTTTTCTATATATTATTTGAAATATGAATTGTTTTGCCATTTAGCACATTATTATTATTATTATCATCATTAATATATATTTTCATGGACAGCTCCAATATTTGTTTCATTTCATTTTCAGTTCTTCTTCTTCTTCTTCTTCTTCCTAGCATTCACTGGCTGTAAACTGTGGCAGAAAGTTCTAGTTGTTCATCCACTTCTGGACTTTGGTCTTGTTCCAGTACTTGAGTACTGTGTGCAAATCCATTCTACATATCCAGCTTATTAGTATGCAGACTGTCGGTTTCTCACCTCTCAGACAGATGCACTCTGATTTAGAAGGAAAAATCCCTAATTTGTCTACACCTATGACATTCTTTTAAAGTGGTAGTAGGTCTGTTCTCTCCCCATCCCACCCCCACCCCCTTTGCACCTCTCCCATGCCACCAGTAGGGCCCCAGAACACACATGGAGAGGTTTCAATTTTTCATACTAAAAATGATGATGATGTTGATGATGAGTTTGAATTAAGGGAAAAAAAAAGGGAAGAAAAGCTACCTTTCCCAGTCCGTCCAGTAAACAATATTATTAAGTACAACAATATCAAAAGGGTAGGCTGCTTTGTCATACACAACACGTCTGCCGATTCCATCCGAGCGGATACACTCAATGCTGTGTGTTCCTGAAAATTCAAAATTATTAATGATTGAGAAAATGAAGTTAGCATTTTCAGTCATAAAATGATATACAGCAATATTACTCATAAAATGATACACAATATTATCACTCATAATTTGTGTATACTACAGTGATAATTACTCATAAATGTGCCGCTGGTACAACCGTTATTATCACTCATGTGACCGTGATAACAGCAATATTACTCATAAAAATGATACACAATGCTGTATCACTCTCTAAATTCATATACAGTTATATTACTGCATAAAAGATACACAATGTTATCACTCATTAATTGATATAGAGCAATATTACTCACTAAAATGATACACAATGTTATCACTCATAAATTGATATAAAGGGCAATAGCTACCTTTCATAAAAGTAAACAATATTATCACTCATAATATGATAAACAGCAATGCTTTACTACATCAACAATGATTCCATCCAATATACATCAATGCTCATAAATTGAATATACAGCAATATTACTCATAAAATGATACACAATATTATCACTCATAAATTGATATACAGCAATATTACTCATAAAATGATACACAATATTATCACTCATAAATTGATATACAGCAATATTACTCATAAAATGATACACAATATTATCACTCATAAATTGATATACAGCAATATTACTCATAAAATGATACTACAATGGCTTATCACTCCTAAATTGATGCCAAACAGCTAATATTACCTCATAAAATGCTACTTCATGTATTATCACTTATCTTATAATACAGCAATTTACTCCTAACAATGATACACAATGTTATCACTCATACAAAATTGATATACAGCAATATTCTAGATCATAAAATGATACACAATATTATCACTAACTAAATTGATATACAGCATTTTACTCATAAATGATACACAATATTATCACTCATAAATTGTCTATTACAGCGCAATATTTCTCATAAAATGATCACACATACTTGTATTTCTCATTGTGATAAATTGATAGTGTTATCAATGATTACTGATATCTTTGTAACCCTAATACACAATATTTGACTGATATCAAATGATATAACATGCAAATACACTTGTTAAAATGATATAGAAATTTTAACTGATGTAATACAATTGTTTATCACGCAATCATCATCAAACAGCAGGTGCTTTACTAAACTGGCTCGATTCACAGCACGCCTGAAAGTCATGTCAAACCACCCTATCCTTCACCCTCTCCTGCAGCTCTCTTCATGTCCTAGACTGATATCTTGTAACTCTAAGCTGATTTTTGATGATAATATTCAGTTTTGACTAACACCTTGTGCTTATCCTTTCTCTTTCATAAAAAATGTTTACATTATATCTTGATGCTAACTTATGGTGACATCTTGTTTGGCTGATATCTTTGCAACTCTAACTGATCCAGATTTTTCGTGTTTGGCACTGATATCTTTTAACCTAATAACTGTTGACTTACATCCTGTTTTGAGATGAAATTCATTGTAACTCTACTGTTGACCTCATTTCTTGTTTGGACTGATATCTTGTAACTCTAACTGATGTACTTACATCTTGTTTGGTCTGATATCTTTTAACCCTAACTGTTGAACTTACATCTTGTTTTGACTGATTTCTTGTAACACTAACTGATGAACTTACATCTTGTTTTGACTGATATCTTGTAACCCTAACTGATGTACTTACATCTTGTTTGGACTGATATCTTGTAACCCTAACTGATGTACTTACATCTTGTTTGGACTGATATCTTGTAACTCTAACTGATGTACTTACATCTTGTTTGGACTGATATCTTGTAACCCTAACTGATGTACTTACATCTTGTTTGGACTGATATCTTGTAACCCTAACTGTTGAACTTACATCTTGTTTTGACTGATTTCTTGTAACACTAACTGATGTACTTACATCTTGTTTTGACTGATTTCTTGTAACTCTAACTGATGAGCTTACATCTTGTTTGAACTGATATCTTGTAACCCTAACTGATGAACTTACATTTTGTTTGGACTGATATCTTGTAACTCTAACTTTTGTACTTACATCTTGTTCCCTTCAGACATGTTTATGGTTGGCTGGAATTCTATAGAATGAGGTAGCCACCACATTTCCAATGTTCCTTAGTAGCCTTTTGCTACATTCCTGTCAGGTATTCCCTGCATTCTTTCAATGCCTCGGAACTCATTTGATTTCCTTATTTCTTCTTCTTCTTCTTTCATTCGCTTGAAGTGGATTATCTATATCTGCAATGTTGTCTCTAGTATGAACTTCAATCTATTTCCTTAATACATTAGTAGTTTTTCATAAAAAATTTTTTGTTAAAGAAATGTATTCATTTTTTCATCATTTTACCCATGATATTCTTTGTGTTGTATTTTAAAAACCATGTTTCTGCTTTCATAGATATTTCTTTTCTTGTGTGTTAATAAGCTTCTTGTGTTTCATATGCCTACAATAGTATACACCTCATAAAGTTTTCTATGAATATTTTTATTTCCAACTAAGAGTTTTTTTTTTTTTTCAAGGTGGTAATGTTTTCTTCTTCTTTTTCTTTTCATTAGTCCGAGTGACGTAGCTGTGTAATGCTTTTTCACAGCTAAGCTGCGAAAAATGGGCCTTTCGTCTCTCACATCCGAGTTTATTGAGCATTTGTTAACCAGGTTAATTTCCCAGATAGTGTCTTTGTGCAACAGGGATATATCGTTGCCTTGTTTGTATGGTGTTCTCTTTGTCCCCGTATCAGCTGTTGCCCCTGAAGATCCCATCCAAGGCAACTGCATGTAGACTGGTCAGTCTTCACTGGCAGGGGCAGATAATTAGCTTTTCCTGCCATCCAAGGACCATAAATGCAGAGCCGATACATACCACTCTAGTCCTGGACTCACCACACAAATCGTCACGTCCTGCACATGACTGCTTAAACTCACATCTCTATGTTGAGCTTGTAATGTTTTTAATAAGCTCCAAGAAAGAGTTTATGAACAGCATATTCATACCAACACTGTGCTATCTGTGCCAGACTTGGACATTGTCAAAGGCTGACCTGCGTAAAATTAACACCTGTGAAATGAGATGCCTGAGAAAACCATCTGAGACAGAGATAGATAGATAATATATATGACATTATCAGACAGACGGCAGGAACAAAATCATGCAGCAAATTCATTGTGAAACAGAAGATCAAATGATGTGGTCATCAAGTAAGAATGCAAACTACCAACCCAGGCACTACACCTGAACAGATCTGATGTGACAGCAAGAGGCCTCACCAGGTGAACATGGATTGATGACATTAAAGACAAGGATACTTTTCAAGAACAGAGAGTGGCAGCACAAAGAATTGTAAACTTACAGAGAACCAGTGATATGAGTTGCCAGATGATGATGAATATGCTGACCATGGGATCCGAGCACCTCTAGAATGAATAGCCCAAGCTATCCTAATATACAGGAGTTCAGCTCACTGTATGGATCTGCCCATCTCAGAGTGTCAGTATTATCTTTTCCTACATCACTCTCTATAGGTAACACTCAATCTTAATCCTGTCTTCATATTTTTCTAAACAGACCTGCCCGCTCTACCTACAACTTCAAAAAGACACCTGGCCTCATGAGCAAAGTGTGCAGAGCAAGCTATGGTGAACCATGAAGGACCTGCTACTGACATAGAGGCAACCCATTGATGGTTCGATCTGAGCATACGAAACCAAACCCAAAGAAGAAAATATTTTCGCCATCAACACATTTGAAGCATTAAAAGTATTTAAGACTAAGAAATCTCATAAGGTCTACAGATATAACTATAAGTGTATGTTCATTTCACGGGCTTATACCTAGATTTTTTATAAAACAGGACAATTGATGTTTTCAAGAATTACTAACTGGATGATCAGGACACACACAAAAATGGAACCGTTCTGGTGAAAACAGGTTGTATGGTCACACCATTGCTAGGGAGCAGTGGTCTCCCCCGCCCTCCCCGCCAAATAATGAGGCCCTGCAACTCACATGGGATAGTTTCAATAATAAAGCATGTGTGAAACAAAATCCCTTACCGGCATCCCCCCAGCACAGTGTTTGTGAAAATGTATCGAATGCCAGTCCATTAGGCAGTCTCAGGTCCTGCTCCACAAGCACCATCCTCTGGCTACCATCCATGCTGATTTTCTCAATCTGTGGCCGGTTTCGGTTCCAGTCAGTCCAGAAGACAACCCTGATGAGTCAGTCAGAAATAAAAGATTTTGTTCAGTGGGTGAACGTCTTTGCAACAATCCAAGCTTAGTAAAGTAAAATAGCGTAACAGGCTACATTAAATATACTACTGTTGAATGTTGAATTCATAATTGATATCACAGCACTTGAGAGCTTCCATAAGTGCTCTGTCCCTATCTTCAGCAGCAAGCAAAGAGTTCAAAACTTGACGGTACCAGTAACTATCTGATTGTATATCCGTCTCGCCTTTCACTTCTGCCAGATTCTCTGTTAACTCCCAGGCAGTGCCATTCTCCTCAGACTGTAATGATTTATCTGTGGCTCCACACTGTTCCCTTGCTCCCAAAGGGCCCTCACAACATCCAGCTTGTCATACATCAATTCACCACCAAGTGGTGCAGAACTAGCCAGTCTATCTACCTGCTTATTTTCCAACACACCAGCATACCCTGGGAAAATATCCAAAGGATGCTAACTCCCGGGAACCAGGAAGTGATGCTTGCAACTCTGCATGAAGCATGCCTGTCTCTAGAGGTCAGTTACAATGACTGCATGTACAGTGATTCTCAAGCCAGCGGAAGGCCCCACCGACTGCCTTCACTAAATATACTATTATACGATGAATTTAAAATAATCAGACAGCTATTATACGGTGAATTTAAAATACTCAGACAACTATTATACGGTGAATTTAAAATAATCAGACAGCTATTATACGGTGAATTAAAAATAATCAGACAGCAAATACGAGTAAAGATTTCACATGATATGAGGTCACTTCTTTTTTACCTGACACTTCTGTTCACTCTTCTCATTCTAAATATTGTCCTTTTCCTTCTCTGACCTCTTCTCCTGCATATACCCCTACTCCATCTACTATCTCTCTCCTTGAAAAGTATATGTAAGCTGCTTTGTGTCCTTTTACAAAAAAGATGGTAACAAGCACAGAGCATACACACCATAGCTCCAGAAAGAAAGAAACAGACATTGAACGCTCAGGGGAGGGGTGAGACAGACACAAAATACAATCAAACTTTTACTTAATTATTTTACAGCATATTCCACTAATGAATTTGTCACACTTATCTCCTGTGTGGGTTCCGGGCCCCATTATGGGGAAAATAAGAATATACCCACTACCTCCCCAACATTCATGTTGTAAGAGTTATCTAACTAGGGACTTTCTTCAAAGTCGGAGTTTACCTGTCTGAGAGGTACAGAATCAAAATTCTGCACACACTTATGTCAGGTCTGTAAAACAAATGTGCATGCAACACTCAGGTTGTGGAACATAACTGAAGTTTAAATGTGGAAGAATAACCAAAACTTTCTGCTGAAGTTTATAGCTCTTGAAGAAGACGATTAAACTTACCCTCTGTTGATGTCCAGAACAACAGCCCTTGGGTTGACCATGTCAGTACTGACCAATGTTTTCCGGTTGGACCCATCAAGCCTTGACACCTGTAGAATATCCAGCTCCGAGTCGGTGAAGAACAAATTCCTGGCCACAAAGTCGACGGCAACACCTTCAGGTGACTTTAGACCTGTGGTAGTTTGAAATGATGATCAGGACAATGGCTGTTTGTTTTCATTACAACACTAGAAACATAAACATTCAAAACAGTTTCTTCTTCTTGTGTCATCTCACTGATACCAGGTTGTAGCCCAGTGTCATGGTTTTGTCGTCTCACTGATACCAGGTTGTAGCCCAGTGTCGTGGTTTTGTCGTCTCACTGATACCAGGTTGTAGCCCAGTGTCGTGGTTTTGTCGTCTCACTGAGACCAGGTTGTAGCCCAGTGTCGTGGTTTTGTCGTCTCACTGATACCAGGTTGTAGCCCAGTGTCGTGGTTTTGTCATCTCATGATACCAGGTTGTAGCCCAGTGTCGTGGTTTTGCCATCTCACTGAAACCAGGTTGTAGCCCAGTGTCGTGGTTTTGTCATCTCACTGATACCAGGTTGCAGCCCAGTGTCGTGGTTTTGTCGCCTCACTGATACCAGGTTGTAGCCCAGTGTCGTGGTTTTGTCGCCTCACTGATACCATGTTGTAGCCCAGTGTCGTGGTTTTGTCGTCTCACTCACTGATACCAGGTTGTAGCTCAGTGTCGTGGTTTTGTCGTCTCACTCACTGATACCAGGTTGTAGCCCAGTGTCGTGGTTTTGTCGTCCCACTTGATACCAGGTTGTAGCCCAGTGTCGTGGTTTTGTCATCTCACTGATACCAGGTTGTAGCCCAGTGTCGTGGTTTTGTCATCTCACTGATACCAGGTTGCAGCCCAGTGTCGTGGTTTTGTCGCCTCACTGATACCAGGTTGTAGCCCAGTGTCGTGGTTTTGTCGCCTCACTGATACCAGGTTGTAGCCCAGTGTCGTGGTTTTGTCGTCTCACTCACTGATACCAGGTTGTAGCTCAGTGTCGTGGTTTTGTCGTCTCACTGATACCAGGTTGTAGCCCAGTGTCGTGGTTTTGTCGCCTCACTGATACCAGGTTGTAGCCCAGTGTCGTGGTTTTGTCATCTCACTCACTGATACCAGGTTGTAGCTCAGTGTCGTGGTTTTGTCGTCTCACTCACTGATACTAGGTTGTAGCCCAGTGTCGTGGTTTTGTCGTCTCACTGATACCAGGTTGTAGCCCAGTGTCGTGGTTTTGTCGTCTCACTGATACCAGGTTGTAGCCCAGTGTCGTGGTTTTGTCGTCCCACTGATACCAGGTTGTAGCCCAGTGTCGTGGTTTTGTCGTCTCACTGATACCAGGTTGTAGCCCAGTGTCGTGGTTTTGTCGTCTCACTGATACCAGGTTGTAGCCCAGTGTCATGGTTTTGTCGTCTCACTGATACCAGGTTGTAGCCCAGTGTCATGGTTTTGTCATCTCACTGATACCAGGTTGTAGCCCAGTGTCGTTGTTTTGTCGTCTCACTGATACCAGGTTGTAGCCCAGTGTCGTTGTTTTGTCGTCCCACTGATACCAGGTTGCAGCCCAGTGTCGTTGTTTTGTCGTCCCACTGATACCAGGTTGCAGCCCAGTGTCGTGGTTTTGTCGTCTCACTGATACCAGGTTGTAGCCCAGTGTCATGGTTTTGTCGTCTCACTGATACCAGGTTGTAGCCCAGTGTCATGGTTTTGTCGTCTCACTGATACCAGGTTGTAGCCCAGTGACGTGGTTTTGTTGTCTCACTGATACCAGGTTGTAGCCAAGTGACGTGGTTTTGTCGTCTCACTGATACCAGGTTGTAGCCAAGTGTCATGGTGTTGTCGTCTCACTGATACCAGGTTGTAGCCCAGTGTCATGGTGTTGTCGTCTCACTGATACCAGGTTGTAGCCAAGTGACGTGGTTTTGTCGTCCCACTGATACCAGGTTGTAGCCCAGTGTCATGGTGTTGTCGTCTCACTGATACCAGGTTGTAGCCAAGTGTCATGGTGTTGTCGTCTCACTGATACCAGGTGATATCCAGTGTCATGGTGTTGTCGTCTCACTGATACCAGGTTGTAGCCCAGTGTCATGGTGTTGTCGTCTCACTGATACCAGGTGAGACCCAGTGTCGTGGTTTTCTGTATTTGTCTTGCGCTTCTCGGGTGGCTTGGATGATGGATTTGCTCACCATATTTGCAGGTTTCAGCTAGACCATTTATCCATCTCTTTCCTTGTCTTTCCCTCGTCATCCTCCCAGAAGTTCAACTGTAAAAAGTTTCATATGCAGTTTGGTCTGGCTGCATTCTCACTAGATGGCCAAACCATTTCATTTTTTGTTGTCTATCAATATACTTCAGATATGGTCTTATTCCAACTTTCTCTCTAATGTTGGTATTCACAACCCTATCCCTTTTTAAGTTGTTAGTGATGTTACGGAGACAGCACATTTCAATTTTAGTCATTTTCTGTTCTAGTCCCCTATTCGTTGTCCTTTTGTGGCACTGATAGCATAAAGTATGTTCTATTCTCGTGCTAATTCCTAAATTTTTATAACATCGGGCAACTGGCAGTTTTTTTTTTGGGAAAGGGGGGGGGGGGGGGGCAGAGTACAGATGGGATAGCTGGGGCACAGCTAAAACAATGGTGAAAACGGGACACATAGTCACTCTACAAAGAAACCACGAACTCTACCTCTCCAGCAACAACCTCAAGATATATTTGTAGAATCTGAACCATATGATGCAGTCGGTGAAACGAACCCATCATCTTGAGAATGCAAGGCAAATGTGTTGGAAGGCAAGTCAAATGTGTTGGAAGGCAAGTCAAATGTGTTGGAATTCAAGTCAAATGTGTTGGAAGACAAGTCAAATGTGTTGGAAGACAAGGCAAATGTGTTGGAAGACAAGGCAAATATGTTGGAAGACAAGGCAATTGTGTTGGAAGGCAAGGTAAATGTGTTGGAAGGCAAAGCAAATGTGTTGGAAGACAAGGCAAATGTATTGGAAGGCAAGTCAAATGTGTTGGAAGGAAAGTCAAATGTGTTGGAAGGCAAGTCAAATGTGTTGGAAGGCAAGTCAAATATGTTTGAAGGTAAGTCAAATGTCTTGGAAGGCAAGTCAAATGTGTTGGAAGACAACCTAATTTGATAAATATAAACAGCCAGCTTACCGGTTACGATGACCTCCACTCCGGAACCGTTTAGCTTGGCTCGTCTTATGACCCCTATTGCAGCATCTGTCCAGTAGATATCTCCTTCCTGGCAATCAATGTCAACCCCTACTGCCAGGGATCCTGCCAAGTGAAATAAATGTATAATATTTATGTGCTCTCTTGCTAATCTTTCATCAACTGTATGTGCCTTATCCATGTTGACAAATAACACCAAATTTCCAATGGAGTTTACAGCCATTGAATATGAAGAAAACGAAAATGCTGTGTACGGTTTGTCAAGGATATCTCACTTTCACTGCCCACAGATATCTTTGTAACTGCTTCAGGCTTTGTCTAAAGGTTGCACACACAAAAACATCAGACCCAAATGTGCATCTAGCAGAGTTGTTGTTCTTGGCACCTTCCCGTCTGCCTAGAAGACAGTGTTATAGTAGGCTATGAGGAAACAGAGGAATCAGTCCATGGCAAATTCGAATGTGACTAGCAAGACTTGCCTGCATGAAGAAAAGTCTTCCACAATTGAAGCTTGGGATTTCAGGACTGTTGTTGTTGTCATCACATGGATTTAGCGTGCTTCTTCTCAGATGCTCAGCTCACATTGATGATTGATCGGCACCTTTCTGTCTTTCCAGATGATTGTGTTATATTGCACTATGAGGAGGCATGTGACTCACAGCTTATGGCGAAGGCGAGTGTGACTAGCAAGACCCGCCTGTGTCAAGAAAAGTCTTCCACAATGATAGCATGGGATTTCAGGACCATTGTTGTCAACATCTGTGTTTAATCTGTTTCTTCTCAGACGCTGAGCTCTCATCTTTTTTGCAGACATTTCTTCCTTCACTCTCATTCCCTTCCTGATATGCTCTCTCCACACAACACGGTCCCTGGCATTTTGTTCCCATGAGTCACATCAATACCTGTATCATTCATGTCCTGCTTTCACACATCTTTATACCATAGTTGAGGTCGGTCTCGACATCTTCTACCCGTCTATAATTCACCATAAAGGATGTCCTTAGGGACTATGCCATCCTCCAATCTCTAGGTGTGACCCAGCCACCTGAGCCTTCGCTGACTGAGCATTGAGACGACTGTTGTTGTACCTGCTCTTTCCAGTACCTCAGTGTTTGTGATTTTGTCCTGCCACTTAATGCCAAGTATTCTTCTTAGGCATCGCATGTGAAAGCTATTTAGCCATCTCTCCTGGTTGACCAAGTTTCACGGCCTAAATCATTTTAAGCAGAGTGTTGGTTTCTCGCCACTAAGGCACATGCACTCCAACTTCGAAGACAACACCCCTAATTAGTCGACTTTTATGACACGCTCGTTAGCAGGGCAGTGGGTCTGTTCCCCCCCCCCCCCACCCTCCCCTCCCCGTCCCCCAAAATGGGACCCTTGAAACCAAACAAAGAACTTATAGTAATGAACAAAAACAAATATGGAGTTAACCAACTTCCTTCCATGGAGACAAAGCGGGATGGTATGAAGGCCGAACTGGCTATTGTATTTGTCAATGAGGAAGGAGAAAGAGAAATAAAAGCAGAGAAGGAGAGAACTCACCTGGTATGTAGACCAGCTGCTGACCATAGTCTCCAGGTCTGGGATCCGTGGAAACCCGCATAACTTTAGTGCCCTGTGCATAAATCAGGTAGTTGCCTTCACGAACCACAGCTGTAGTAGAAACAATTGTTTATAGAAGATTAACTCTTTCAGTCTTAAACATTTGTTACTCTAGCTCTTTCTCTCTCAAGGAGTTGAACTTAAAGGCAATACATAATTCAGTTTGAGCTGAACAGAAATATTTTGGAATAGAAGTACTTAATTAAACTAATTTAAAAAAAAAAACTTAGTTGCGTATCTTTTACAGCATGTTGCCGAGCCAACCCCAGCATTCTTTTTTGGCTGTTTTGTTTTTTCTAGACAAATTCACATTCAGTGGTTTGCCACTTCTTCTGAACGGTCGGCTCTTGGTACCACTGTCGAAACCAAGGCAAAACAAATTATCCAGAGCTGGGATCGAACCCGGCACCCCGGCATTATGAAAGCACATTCACAATGCCTAAGCCACAGACCCCATTAAAATAGTAATTTAGGCATATTACATATGTGTATGGGAGCTCCATGGTGCAGTGGCTAGATGCTCACCTGTGGATTGGAAGGTCAAGGATTCGGGTCCTGATGGAGCCCGGACTTTTTTCAATAAATGACCTTGGCTCCCAGGTCAACCCAGCCTTGAGTGGGTACCAGGTATAGTTCTGGGAAGTAAATGAGGCCAGTGTAGTGTTCACCACATCATTCATTGAGTGCCAATTGGTGTATATAGTCTATAAAATATAGGTCTAGCCCTAAATGCCCAATACCCCTGCAGGCGTGAAAAAAGGTGCTTTACTTGCATATGTGTATAAGAGAAGACATTTAAAATATCCGATTATATTCAGAGTGGTCAAGAAATGCATGACAGTAGTTATTTGGGACATAAAGAGTTGAAGATATTGGGAAAAGTGAAAACAGCAAAGAAGGCGGAGTTTTTAATGGCAAGATAATGGCATCTCAGGGCGATTTGATGAACTCAGTGATCTGATAAAAAGGGTTATCAATGAAAGGACTAAAACACTCACGACTACACGAAGCTCCATCTCCTCGAAACCCTGGCCGGCACACACAGACGTACCCTTCCTCTGCTCCCTGGACGCATTCTGCATCAGCCGAACACAACCCAGGGTTGCGACGACAATCAATAATCTCTGCAAGAAAAACAATTTCCTTTGTGATGAGACTGATATTTCTAATATAACTCCCAGCTGAGTTATCTGTCTATAAAAAAATTTTCTAACATAACTTTCAATTTAATAAGTTTTCAAAATTTGTAACCATGACATTTTGTATAATTTTAGTGGTTAGGTGAAAAAAAAAAATACTTTAATTTTTAAGAACTTGAGTTTAGTTAAGAAATAACACCACAGCACTTGAGATTTTCTGTCCCAATTTTCAGCAGCCACTGAAGAGTTCCAGTTCCGATGGTACCAAATTAAAGAACATTACATTTATCATAAGCAGAAAAAAAAAGAAGAAAAGGCTCCATTTCTCCTCACTGAGTCATATTGAGTATGTGGTGCAATGAGCTGACATCGGACCATGCCTTAGACAACTATAAAAGAGATACAGCTTGTGTACTTATATTTTAATTTTATGACATCGCTGGAAACACTATAAACCTGGGTTGATATTTTAATACATAAAATTATTATCAAATGCCCTAATGAATGGCGTAGGCATTCATGCATCTCCAGATCTCGGTCCTTTGTCTTCTGGATCAGTTCCACCGCTGATATCATCTCTCATGGACTGCCTCTCCCTCTTCTACCGCTGATCTTCTCAGCCGTCACAATATTTTCTAAAGCCTCCTCATATGACCAAAGAACAGTGCTTGTTTTTTTCTTTACTTACTTTACTTTACTTTAACTTTTTCCTTCCACGTATGCCGCTAAGCGTTGTGGGGAGATGCAAGTTCCTGTCGTAAGCAAGTCGGGCAGCATCTGATGTTCTGAGGCCATGCTTTTGGCAGGTTTCGGAGACCCCGTCAATCCATCGTTTCCTTGGTCTTCCTCTTGCCTTATATCCTGAGCTTCTTTGGTTGAAAATTTGTGATGTTATTTGATCATTTTTCATCCTGGTTAGATGTCCAAACCATTTCATTCTTTGATGTTCTATGTAGTCTAAACATGGTGTAGTTTTGACAGTTTTTTCTTTACAGCTGTATAAATTGATATGCTTTCATTAGCTTTCTTCAAGCAATCCTTGTTAGTTATTCTGCCAGTCTAAGGAATTCTTAACATTCGTCTAAGAAACTACATCTCCGTCGCCTCTAAGTCCTTTCTAATCTGTGCATTTACATTTAATGATTCACTACCATACAGAAATATAGGCTATACATAAAATTTTAGTACTCTCTGATGTAAGTAAGTAAATTTTACCCCACTAGGACATCACACAAGCGATAAACACCCGGTGACACAAAGTGCCACCATGCAGATGAGGATCAGCCGTGGAGAGGTCCCGGAAACCGCATTCAACCATTAGGTTATTGCGGCCCCTGGCAACAGCTAGAGTAGGGCTTTAAAATAATGAAAAATTGCATCCCACACATGGGACAACAAAATGATGTCTCTAACGTTATGACTGTACCCACATATTTGAATGCCATCTATACTATAAATCACAAACCCTTTCTGCATTTCCTGTGTTAATTATAAATCATACCTATATACATCTGAGACAATACATTTGTTTGTTTCCTGAATTGTTAAAAACTAGTGTTAGTATTACAAGGGATGCCTCAGGAGCACTTAGAGGCAATGACTAAAGATACTGCCACAGTGTATACAAAGATGAAGTAGAAGAAGGGATGTTGAATACAGAGTTTTAATTAGACCCCTATTTCCACTAAGCCTACAAATGGGACAGCAGTGGAGATTAAGATGGGGAGAGGATGGGAGAATAAGACTTTCTTTCATTATTTTGGTCGAAGCCGGGTAAAGCCAGGCAAATAAATCTAGTACAATATATATTTATCATATTTTACTTTATAAACCCAGTTACAGATTCTTCTACTATATCCTGTATTAATCAGATTTTCTCTATAAACCCAGTTATGGAGCCTTTTCCTACTTAATCTTATATTAATGGTATTTTGTCTCTATAACTCCTATCATCGAGCCTCAACTGTATATCCTATATTAATCCATATTTTCATAAATAAACCAATTTAGGGTAAAAAGTATGGCGTCTGCGGCAAATCTTTGAAAATTTGATTGGTCTGCAGGTTTTCAACTAATTAGGAACCATTGCCATAGGCAATATAAATACTGTTTATAATTAGTAGGTATAGCAATGGGTCGTTTTGTTTCATTTATTTTGCTATACATTTTCGTAAAAACCCAAAATATAAAACTTCACTAGCAACCCTATAATTAGCATCCGTGCTTTCTTACCCCTCCTTGTACATACAAGTCCATCTCCCTCGTAGCCTCTGCTACAGCGACAGGTGTAGGAGAGAATGTCAGGGTCATAGAGACATTCAGCGTTTCGGTCGCAGTTGTTGACCTGGTTGCATGGGACAACTGGAACAGTCAAACAAAGGGAAATATCACTAAAACAGCTATTATGGGAAATATCACTAAGGGAGCTAGCTATCATGGGAAATATCACTAAGGGAGCTATCATGGGAAATATCACTGAGCAAAATATCCCAAATAAAGGGAACTATCATTAAAAGAGCTATCATGGGAAATATCACGAGCTAAATATCCCTATGTGGAAGGTGATTTTTCTTTCTTTTTTGTTGAAATATCACTTTGTGTACCTTCTTATGTTTGAACAAATGAATAAATGAACTGACATCATTGCACTCAGGACACTCCCACACATGCTCTGTCTCTCTTTCCTCAGTAGTCAACAAAGAGTTCTCATGTTAATATTACTAGTTATAATCTAATTAGAAGTTCATTTACTTTTTACTCTTAGCGCTGAGTATCATCCAAGACCTCAGCTCAGCCCCTGTCTACTCCCTTTTTCACTGATTCAATCTTTCATCTGAATGAAAACTTCTTGTCTGATCACACAAAGAACCAAAATAAAGTCTCACTTTCCCAGTGTGGGCTCCGTGACCCAGTTTCAGGGAAAGAAGAACAGACCCACTAACCCCCCCCACCCCCCACCACCCCATCTCCGATAGGCATAGCATATAAGGAGATTAATAGGGTGCTCTCTTTGTCAGAGTGGATTGGCCTGAGAGTTGAAAAAAAATCTGTGACACAGATGTGTACGCAAAACTTAAGTCCAAAAGTGGACAAACAACCAGAATTTGCTCCCTAATTTTACAACTGGTGAATAATGGACAAACAACCAGAACTTTCCACCTAAGTTTACAGCTGGTGAACAATGGACAAACAACCAGAATTTGCTCCCTAAGTTTACAGCTGGTGAACAATGGACAAACAACCAGAATTTGCTCCCTAAGTTTACAGCTGGTGAACAATGGACAAACAATCAGAATTTGCTCGCTAAGTTCACAGCTGGTGAACAATGGACAAACAATCAGAATTTGCTCCCTAAGTTTACAGCTGGTGAACAATGGACAAACAACCAGAATTTGCTCCCTGTTTACAACTGGTGAATAATGGACAAACAACCAGAACTTTCCACCTAAGTTTACAGCTGGTAAACAATGGACAAACAATCAGAATTTGCTCCCTAAGTTTACAACTGGTGAATAATGGACAAACAACCAGAACTTTCCACCTAAGTTTACAGCTGGTGAACAATGGACAAACAACAAGAATTTGCTCCCTAAGTTTACAACTGGTGAATAATGGACAAACAACCAGAACTTTCCACCTAAGTTTACAGCTGGTGAACAATGGACAAACAACCAGAATTTGCTCCCTAAGTTTACAGCTGGTGAATAATGGACAAACAACCAGAACTTTCCACCTAAGTTTACAGCTGGTGAACAATGGACAAACAATCAGAATTTGCTCCCTAAGTTTACAACTGGTGAATAATGGACAAACAACCAGAACTTTCCACCTAAGTTTACAGCTGGTGAACAATGGACAAACAACAAGAATTTGCTCCCTAAGTTTACAGCTGGTGAACAATGGACAAACAACCAGAATTTGCTCCCTGTTTACAACTGGTGAATAATGGACAAACAACCAGAACTTTCCACCTAAGTTTACAGCTGGTAAACAATGGACAAACAATCAGAATTTGCTCCCTAAGTTTACAACTGGTGAATAATGGACAAACAACCAGAACTTTCCACCTAAGTTTACAGCTGGTGAACAATGGACAAACAACAAGAATTTGCTCCCTAAGTTTACAACTGGTGAATAATGGACAAACAACCAGAACTTTCCACCTAAGTTTACAGCTGGTGAACAATGGACAAACAACCAGAATTTGCTCCCTAAGTTTACAGCTGGTGAATAATGGACAAACAACCAGAACTTTCCACCTAAGTTTACAGCTGGTGAACAATGGACAAACAACCAGAATTTGCTCCCTAAGTTTACAACTGGTGAATAATAGACAAACAACCAGAACTTTCCACCTAAGTTTACAGCTGGTGAATAATGGACAAACAACCAGAACTTTCCACCTAAGTTTACAGCTGGTGAACAATGGACAATCAGAATTTGCTCCCTAAGTTCACAGCTGGTGAACAATGGACAAACAACAAGAATTTGCTCCCTAAGTTTACAACTGGTGAATAATGGACAAACAACCAGAACTTTCCACCTAAGTTTACAGCTGGTGAACAATGGACAAACAACCAGAATTTGCTCCCTAAGTTCACAGCTGGTGAACAAGAAGAAGAAGAAGCAGAAGTCTCACTAGTGGTAGCTTCCATTGTATTTATATTTCCATAACAACTTATTAATTTTCCTGTTGCAATTAATTATGATTGTTTTTACTACTTGAATGAATGAAGGACTCAAGAATGACATCAGTGCACTCAGAACAGTCCAACAAGTGCTCCGTCCCCTTCATCAGTAACCAAGGAAGAGCTGACATGTTAAAAGCACCAGTTGCAACCTGATTAAAAGTCTGCCTGTGTTTTACCTTCAATGTTGAATATCTTATGGAACATCTATTCACACCCCCCCCCCCCCCCAGTTAAATGAGTCTTTTAATGTATGGATTCTGTATCTGCTCTTGTGTACATTTTTGTTTCTTTCTGTGAACCTTCTAGAAAGGTAAGAGTTATCTGTACATGACTTACATCTTTGTAGGCACACTTTGCCATCGCCGTGGTAACCTGGATTACACTTGCAGGTGAAGCGGCTGGGACTGGCAGCATCCGGTACACACCGGGCGTTGACATCACAGTCATAAGCTACATCACAGCCTGGCTGAGGGGCCGCTGTTGGACAAAGCAAAGACAGAAAGTAAAAGAGAAAGGCTTTACCAGAAGCAGATCACACATATCAAAGTCAACACAGCAGTTGAAAGGGCAGCTTTTGGACAAAGCATCAGACATCAGTAGAAGTCATAGTCTTAGTCTTAGGCTTAGTCAAGGTTTCACTTTCACTGCAATCGAATTTCCCCATACTGCTCTGTTCCTGTGCCAGTGCAAATCAAATTAAATGTCCCTCACTGTCGAATATGAAAAACTGGTAAACAAACAATCAGTCCCGGAACAATCCAGAAATATGTGCAGGCAGTAAAGGTGTATTTCAGTTATTAGAGATGCCAAAGCCAACAACCCCCACCAGAAATTTAGTTTGTCAATGTAAGTAGTTGGGCATGATAAGGTGGTTAATATACACATGTAGAATTATTACATAAGAAGAAGAGAAAATCTTTGCTATAACATAATCATCATTAATAATCAACATTACAGTTTAAAAGCTAATTCTTCTTTGTTACTTCCTCTTTTAACATTTCACATCCAAAATAGCAACCCAGATATTTCAAAAGAGATGAGAGCTCAAAGACAACTTATCACAAACATCAGAAAGAGTGTCATCATTTCTTGGTCATGTTATGATAACTGTAATGAATGCACTTGTGTCTTCTCCACACTTGATCTCTCTAGTGCAGATTTAACACTGACTCTGTTGTCTAGAGGTTAGGTCACAGCTCAATCTAACCAGATGGAATTTCTCTCCACGGTCACACGACTTCAAACAACGGTTGACACCAGCTGACACATTTCATGAGTTTATTATCACTGTAGCATAAGACACGAATCACAGTAGAATCAACTTACACCATTCAGACAGTCTCGACTTGCTCACGCATTAAAGCTCCAGACATGCTTCAGACGATGGACGCTGGCATATTCACGGCTGGCTCAACAATCAAACCCTGTACACAACAGCTGGCCTTCACGATCATTCATTCGACTCTGATTCAGATCCACGTGCTCTCTTCATTCTCGATTCATCTTCACAGATTCAGTTTCACATCCTTCCAGTCTGGGGCCCAGTCACCGAATCACCACCTGATTCTCAATCCCCCAGATCTCATATTCACACATGACTCACTCTTTCTTGTCGTTTCACCATATCTCCGTGAAACCCATGCTCTCAGGGACTTACCCAATTATGCCAGTCATCCCCTGACGTTATCCCTATTTATAACATCATTACAATAAGAAAGAAACTGGAATATGTTGTGACCACTGGAAAGATTTGTGGAAAATGCTAGACAGAGGAAGACAATGCTAGAAGATTCTAAACAGTCTTATGTCATGGCATGGAGGGATGTCAGCACATGAACTGATACATGCTCTTAAAGATCACAGATTGTGGAGAGGAATGATCGTCCAACTCAGTAGGCAAGGCACTTGATGATGATGATGGTAATAAACAGTAGTAATATATAATCAGCAAAAGCAGTATTAGTAGCAGCAGTTACAGATTAATGTATGTTATAATAGCAGCAGTAACAAACATCTGCAAAGACTCTGTTACCACACGCTGGTCTGAATAGATGTAAAACATTGTACACTCACGTGCATTATCTTGCAATAAACATCTCTTCCCATCTCCATAAGTAACCCTCATTACAGCGACAGACGAATGTCTGTCCCTCAGGTACACACACAGCATTATCATCACAGTCGTCAACTTCGTCACATCCCACAGGTCGACACCTGAACCCATCACCTGTAATATTATCATGATAAAACAAAAATAAAACTGTTGAATTTGTAATTGAACCTTAATCATTGTGCAGGTAAAGCATTGAGCTTTCTTCTTCTTTGCATTCACCTGCTGTAAACTCAGGCAGAAAGTTCTGGTTGTTTATCCACTTCTGGATTTTGGTCTCTTTCCAGAACAAGAGTTTTTATGTGCACATCCATTTGACAGATTTCTCTAATTTGAATGCAAACTGATTCAACAAAGATGCAATAAAGCCAATCAAGTTTTAGGCCAAATGGCACTCATTTTGTAATGCAAGCATGTGAATATGAACACAAAAGAACACAGTTCAACCCAATATTGTTACCAATGCTATGCTATCAATGTCAAACCTGGACACTGTCTTCAGAAGACAGAAGGAAAATAGTCACGACAGAAGTGACATGTTTACGTACAATGCTAGTTGTAATGAGGAAAGATCGACTTAGGGATGATGATATCAGGAGGAGAGTCAGCACAGAACCAATACTGAACTTTACAGGTAGACAACAAATCAAATGGTTTGGCCATGTAACAAGATTGGCAGCAGACAGGGCACCACAAAGAGCAGTGTTATACAGATACAACAGTAAAAGAGCCAGAGGTCGACCACACAAAATATGGACTGCAGAAATATCAGAGACACTGAAAAGTACTATCTATATACAAAGCGAACAGACAGGCCCGTTCCAGAGATCTTTTCCTCCCCTGACACCGCAAGGCATTCCAGGAGCAAAGAACATAAGAAGAAGTATGCAAACAGTTGGTTCTTTATTTCCCAGGCAGACACACCCTGCTTTCGAAGGACAGGCTCATAATTAATTGGCTTTTACAACATCCATGTTAGAGGATTGTGGGTCTATTCTTTTTTTTCTTCCCAAATAGAATCTCAAAACTCACACAGGGGACTGAGTTATCCAAATATGCAACAATTACCACTCATGTGAGTGTTTTCATTACAACATAAAACCATTGTTAGTTCACACCAGAAGTATTTTTCTAGCTTAACTCTTTTAGTCTTAAAAAAACTCAAGTCTTTTCTTTTATATCCAAGAAACCACTTCATGCTTCCATGATATTTTTACATTTTGGCATTGCTTAATGGCATATAAGAAAATCTGGCTTCTGCTGTTGGTGCTTCCAATGTGTGCAGTAATTTTGAAAGTAATGCACTCCTGCTAGTGGCTACTACTTCCTTGAGCAATTATCCTGGGACTAAAAGAGTTAAGAAATCTTTCTGTTTCTTCTTCTTCTTTTGTGTTCGTCCTTAAAGGTCTGTTGGCAAGCTGTATCATGGTTAAAAAACTTGCACCTTTCGGCCCAAAACATCTGATTTCAGCAAATAGCTAATTACTGATTGTCTATTATGACAATCTTGTTATAAGCATTAGGTCTGTTCTATTTCTTCCAGAAAAAAAAAAGATAATGGGACTCTTGAATCCACATAAGGACATGATATGTCTAAAACCATAATTCCTTTTGAACTCTCTTTGAGACACTTTTCCTAGAACTCTCACCACAATGGAGTTCATTGTACAAATACATTAATGTGTTCTTGTTTGCAGTTGTAATAATGTTAAAGAACCCTTACAATATCTTAATTGTCATGTATCAATTCGCCATCAAGTGGTACATAAACTGCCAACCTGTCTGTCTCTTTGTTTCCCAACACACTGGCATGACCTAGAGAAAATATCCACAGGAAACTAACTACCCAGGACTTCTGAAGCGATGCTTGCCTCTCTGCATGGAGCACACCTGTCTCCGCCTTTCTCAAAACGATTTGTGAGTCAGTCAGACTTATGACGTGTGTAGAGCTGAGACGTTGAGATGTGCAACCTTGATTACATCACAACAGGAAATTTATAAGGGAAGAGAGGCAGAAGAGATCAGGAGAGAACAGATATTTGACTTAATATTAAAGCATGAAAAAATGTCTGAACCACTGACTGATCACAGATGAGACACAAGGCTGTCGAAAGACATGGCCAAGGTTACACAATTTGTTAAATAAGTAAAGGGGAATTAAAAGCATACCTCTGTAACCATAATTACACCGACAAATGCTGATGTTTCTGTCTACATCCAGCCAGCAGATGCTGCCCTTTGAGTCACACATGGTTGGATCTTCCCTGCAGTCTCGCAGCTCACATGTTTTCCCATCACCTTTGTATCCCCGAACGCAGATGCACTGATAATCACTTTCCTCTTCAATGAAGGAGCACCTGGCATTAGCATCACAGTCGGCGCAGGTATCTGGAAAACAAGCAAGGTGTTAAAGCGCAGGTATCTGGAAAACAAGCAAGGTGTTAAAGCGCAGGTATCTGGAAAACAGGCAAGGTGTTAAAGCACAGGTATCTGGAAAACAGGCAAGGTGTTAAAGCACAGGTATCTGGAAAACAGGCAAGGTGTTAAAGCACAGGTATCTGGAAAACAGGCAAGGTGTTAAAGCACAGGTATCTGGAAAACAGGCAAGGTGTTTATGCGCAGGTATCTGGAAAACAGGCAAGGTGTTAAAGCGCAGGTATCTGGAAAACAGGCAGGGTGTCAAAGCGCAGGTATCTGGAAAACAAGCAAGGTGTTAAAGCGCAGGTATCTGGAAAACAAGCAAGGTGTTAAAGCGCAGGTATCTGGAAAACAAGCAGGGTGTTAAAGCGCAGGTATCTGGAAAACAAGCAGGGTGTTAAAGCGCAGGTATCTGGAAAACAAGCAGGGTGTTAAAGCGCAGGTATCTGGAAAACAAGCAAGGTGTTAAAGCGCAGGTATCTGGAAAACAAGCAAGGTGTTAAAGCGCAGGTATCTGGAAAACAAGCAAGGTGTTAAAGCGCAGGTATCTGGAAAACAAGCAAGGTGTTAAAGCGCAGGTATCTGGAAAACAAGCAAGGTGTTAAAGCACAGGTATCTAAAAAACAAGCAGGGTGTTAAAGCACAGGTATCTGGAAAACAAGCAGGGTGTTATAGCACAGGTATCTGGAAAACAAGCAGGGTGTTTAAAGTTACACCTGTGAAAACGTGTGTAGTGTAATTGTCCACTAAAACCTTCTATTTTATGTTATGATATCATGACCAACGTCACTGAATATTTGGCATTTACATGTATGCTATTCCTCTGAAGCAGCTGCCAATCCAAGGTACCTCAGCTGATTGTTCACATAAGGAGTTGGTTGTAGTGTCTCCTATCTCGATCTAGAAGGTGGTATAGACGTGTTTCATCATGCTTTACTCCAATGCCATGTAATCATGTTAGTGTCAGAGAGTCGTCATTATCCACTAACTTAGTCCGCACTTCACTGATGATATAATTTCTGTTTGTGCTTCGTCCCCAAACGATGTTGCGTTGCTTTCCAGCTGGTCAACTTGTTCATTACCTCTCACACCGGCATGACCAGGTGTAGGAGACTAGAATCTGCAAATAGTGCAGGTTTTAATTTCAACTGAGGCAGACTTATGAAAGTAATATGGGTCCCCAGGTCCACCGCGTCTAAAACTGGATATCAGAAAATGTTAGGAGAAGTGAAGGTGATTAATTGTCAAATTACTCATCAAGTCTGTTTGAATGAGAAGTTGTGTGGTCAAATTAATCATCAAGTGCTGTTTGAATGAGAAGTTGTGTGGTCAAATTACTCATCAAGTGCTGTTTGAATGAGAAGTTGTGTGGCCAAATTACTCATCAAGTCTGTTTGAATGAGAAGTTGTGTGGTCAAATTACTCATCAAGTGCTGTTTGATTGAGAAGTTGTGTGGTCAAATTACTCAGCAAGTGCTGTTTGAATGAGAAGTTGTGTGGTCAAATAACTCATCAAGTGCTGTTTGAATGAGAAGTTGTGTGGTCAAATTACTCATCAAGTGCTGTTTGAATGAGAAGTTGTGTGGTCAAATTACTCATCAAGTGCTGTTTGAATGAGAAGTTGTGTGGTCAAATAACTCATCAAGTGCTGTTTGATTGAGAAGTTGTGTGGTCTAATTACTCATCAAGTGCTGTTTGAATGAGAAGTTGTGTGGCCAAATTACTCATCAAGTGCTGTTTGAATGAGAAGTTGTGTGGTCAAAATTACTCATCAAGTGCTGTTTGAATGAGAAGTTGTATGGTTAAAATACTCATCAAGTGCTGTTTGAATGAGAAGTTAACTGACAAGCATAATTATCTTATACTGAAACTGAAAATAAAGTTCTATATATCTCAATTATTAAACCAGATGGGTTGAACAGGATATCATTTAAACTACTACTGCTACTAGAGCGGCTGCTACAACTACTACTACTCTTGCTACTCCCTTTGAGACCAGACAAGTGGAACACCTTGTACGGAGGAAAAGAACAGCTTGTGAAAACATGCAAATTCCACTACATGGCATTGAGCCAAAGGGCGAAAGCTCATAGCGCCGCTGGATCGATAACAACAACAACGGCTACTACTGCTGCTGCTGATACACCTCTTCCTACTACTACTGCTGCTACTACTACATCAAAGCATGGATGTTTCATGAGCTATTTACTGTTTACTTATGACTAATAAAAATCAACAGTACAAAGAAGCTCCCAAATAAGTAAGAAATCACTTTCCATCATATCCTAGACTCAACTACAACACAATGTGAATATTCAACAATGCATGATAACTCACCAATCAGAGTGCACTGATGTCCATTGCCCGTATAACCGGCATCACACTGACACACATATGTGTTTCTGCTGCTGTCAAGGACGCATTGTGCGAATCTATCACAGTCACTGCATCCATTTGCTGTTAGAGGATAAAACAAAACAAAAATATCTCACTGGTTGTTTCGTCTTCCTCTTCCTCTGCCCCATCCCCACTAAAATGTAGAACAACCTCACTTCCGAACTCTCCTGTTGCATGTTCACCTCCATAAGTTTTTAACTTTGATCTTTCTTGCCATGTAGTTTGGAGTGTAAGATATTTTAGTTAATATTATCATCATCTATTCTCCATGTGTCCTAGAGCCCTGTCCTTCTTCCTAAAGTCTATGCCCGTGTGGCATTGGTAGTCATGTCTATCCACAACCTTCTGTCTCGTTTACTATCAATCAACTCTGACACAGATGATCTTTCATAGTTCATGCCGTGTGACATTGGTAGTTATGTCTATCCACAACCTTCTGTCTTGTTTACTTTCAATCAACTCTGACACAGATGATCTTTCATAGTCCATGCCGTGTGGCATTGGTAGTTATGTCTATCCACAACCTTCTGTCTCATGTACTTTCAGTCAGCTCTGAGACAGATGATCTTTCATAGTCCATGCCGTGTGGCGTTGGTAGTTATGTCTATCCACAACCTTCTGTTTCGTGTACTTTCAGTCAGCTCTGACACAGATGATTCTTCCATGCCATGATGTCAAATACCATGTCTTTACCTTTTCATTAATTTATTTATTGTCCAGTTGTGCAATTTTATGTCACATAGGGCTTGTAATCTACTTCTCCCTTCCCATCTATCCTGTGCAGTCACTTCTATATCATGGATGCAGTCCAGACCAGCATCCTTGGCATTTCTCATTAACATACACTCTAGGGTTTCTCTTAAGTAAAGTAAAGATTCCTTTCACACCTTTCAGCACATCGGGCATATGGTCAGAGCGTCCCATATTTTTACAGACCAATCAGCACCCGGTGGGTAATGTGGTCAGCATTACGCTGGCCATCTTCACTTCCCCAGGACAGCCATCCTGCTACCCAGAAGAAGAAGAAGAAGAAGAAAAAGAAAAAGAAGAAGAGGACGAAGAAGAAGAAGAAGATGAAGAAGAAGAAGAAGAAGAAGAATTCAGAAGAAGAAGAAGAAGAAGAAGAAGAAAAGAAAAGAAAAGTAAAGAAAAAGAAGAAGAAGAAGAAGAAGAAGAAGAGGAAGAAAGAAGTCAAGAAGAAGAAGAAGAAGAAGAAGAAGAAGAAGAAGAAGAAGAAGAAGGAGAAGAAGGAGAAGCAGGAAGAAGAAGAAGAAGCCAGAAGAAGAAGAAGAAGAAGAAGAAGAAGAGAGAAGAAGCCAGAAGCTAGAAGAAGAAGAAGAAGAAGAAGAAGAAGAAGAAGAAGAAGAAGAAGAAGAAGAAGAAGAAGAAGAAGAAGAAGAAGAAGAAGAAGAAGAAGAAGAAGAAGAAGAAGAAGAAGAAGAAGAAGAAGAAGAAGAAGAAGAAGAAGAAGAAACTGAGAACTTATGGAGGTGGTCTTTAGACTGCAGTAAGTATCCAGTCAAAACTTGATAACTCTAACTTACTAGTTTTCTCACAAGAAAAGCCATCCCCACTGAACTCATCCATACATTCACAGTAGTACTGTCTGAGATTCTCATCATACAAGCACTCAGCATTGTCTCCACAAATGTCTGCCTCGTTACAGCTGACCTCTGAAACAAAACAACACATAGACAATTAAGCCTTCCATTTCCTAATTGTCAAATGAACTACAGCAAAACCTCATTAAAACCAATTTAAAGGGAACAAAAAATATAGATTTCACATTAAAATAATGTGTGCTAACTGGAAATGACATTTTTAACTTCCTCTGTTACCACTTCGGGTGTCGAGGAAGATATAAAGTTCTGCTTTGTGCCAATCTGGCCGTCTCAACCATTGATGTATTGTGGTGTTGTAGAGTTTCTCTGAGCTTATCTTTCCATCTTCTTTGTCTACCTTGTGCTCTACGTCCTTCTCCTCTTTTGGATATGTCTCTACAGGGACACAAAAATTGTGTTTATGTTAACCGAGTGTTTGACTTAAGTCAGTTCATGTTAATGAGGTTTTAGTCCAGCTGTAATGTTGAATTTTGAATCAATTAGGAATCAACATTATAGCACTCAGGACACTCCTATCAGTGCTCCGTCCCCATCAACAGCAGCAAGCGAAGAGTTCAAATTGGGATAGTACCAGTAACTGTCTGATTGTATGTCTGTCTCACACCTTTCCCTTGAGTGTTGAGGGTTGGCCAGATCCCCTGGTAGTTTAGCTGTAACTTAAACTATAGTGCTTTTCAAAAGTTTTGCCCTCTCACTTTTACACAAATCTTGAAACTTCCTGTAGGGATCAACATGAAATTCTGCATGTGGCCTTAGATTGCCCATGTCCTTGTGATTTTATAATTTACAATTGCACAGGTGCTGATGTTTTCTTAAAGCAGCAAATTTCTTTGATCTTTATTTGACTAATAATGTGTGCACCCCTAAAAATTAGAATATACAGTTATTGACACAGGCATAGAGATTGTTTGGAAATCAATTCACATAACAGTATTGTCTGAAAAGGCGGAAAGATAACAACAGCAAATAAAAACAGCTAAAATATAACTAGAAAACTCAGTGAAAAGATAGGACAAGACATAGATTGGCCAAATACAACCAAACATTTCGACAAGTCTTCATCAAAACTGATAAACTCTGGTCAAAACATTTGGTTCTCTCTGTGTGATCCTTTATCATTTCCTCCAATGGGCTTCATGCTTCAGAGTTTGTGCTATGTCTTTCAGTCTCTGGAAGTTTCTAAGTAGAAATCCAATTTTGAACAGTAAGAGAGGCATCAGTAATGGAGACTTTATAGATACAGCACAAACTATGCTGCATTTACATAATTTGGCCAGATTTCTTTTGCATACCCAGACTAAACATGAAATAAATAAAACACACCATGTGTTGTGTTAACATACATAAATATAAGTTCCTTTGAACTGAAGAAGTTAATTACTTGTAAATATTGTACATACCTGTTGCAGCACATCTGACACCATCTCCTTGGAAACCAGGATTACACTCACAGCGAGGCTGTTGAGTATCTGGTGCATAAGTACATCGAGCATGTCTGTCACAGACATTCTGACCACACAGTCTCACATCAGCTGAAAACAACAGCAGATATAATAAAACATAAACAATTCTTAATCTTAGTGCTCACCATTTAAACTACGACAGAAAATTCTGGTTGTTCGTCCACTCCTGGACTTTGGTCTTGGTCCTGAACTTGAATTTTGCATGCAAATCTATTTTAGAGTTCTGGTTTACTTGTATGCAGACTGTTGGTTCCTTGCCGCTCAGGAAAATGCGATCCAACTTCATAGGAAAACTCACTAACTAGTTGCCACCTGTGACATGCTCATTAGGATGCTGTGGGTCTATTCTTTTTTTTTCTAAAATGGAACTCTAGGACCAACACTGGGACCAACACTGGGACCAACACTGGGACCAACACTGTGACCAACACTGGGACCAACACTGGAACCAACACTGAGACCAACACTGAGACTAACACTGGGACCAACACTGGGACCAACACTGAGACTAACACTGAGACTAACACTGAGACCAACACTGGGACCAACACTGGGACTAACACTGAGACTAACACTGAGACCAACACTGGAACCAACACTGGAACCAAATACTGGAACCAACACTGGAACCAACACTGGGACCAACACTGGGACCAACACTGGAACCAAATACTGGAACCAACACTGGGACCAACACTGGGACCAACACTGGGACCAACACTGGAACCAAATACTGGAACCAACACTGGAACCAACACTGGAACCAACACTGGGACCAACACTGGGACTAACACTGGGACCAACACTGGGACTAACACTGGGACTAACACTGGAACCAACACTGGAACCAACACTGGAACCAACACTGGAACCAACACTGGGACCAACACTGGGACCAACACTGGAACCAACACTGGGACCAACACTGGAACCAACACTGGGACCAACACTGGGACTAACAACACTGGGACCAACACTGGGACCAACACTGGGACTAACAATGGGACTAACACTGGGACCAACACTGGGACTAACAACACTGGGACTAACAACACTGGGACTAACACTGGGACTAACAACACTGGGACTAACACTGGGACTAACAACACTGGGACCAACACTGGGACCAACACTGGGACTAACACTGGGACTAACACTGGGACTAACAACACTGGGACACTGGGACTAACACTGGGACCAACACTGGACTAACACTGGGACCAACACTGGGACCAACAACACTGGGACCAACACTGGGGGACTGGGACTAACAACACTGGGACTAACACTGGGAACACACAACACTGGAACAACACTGGAAACAACAAACTGACTAACACTGGGACTAACACTGGGACTAAACACTGGACTGGGACCAACACTGGGACTAAAAACACTGGGACTAACAACACTGGACTAACAACAAATGACTGGGACAACACTGGAACTAACACAACACTGGGACTAACAACACTGGAACTAACAACACTGGACAACACTGGGACTAAACACTGGACTAACAACTGGGACTAACACTGGGACTAACACTGGACTAACAACACTGGACTAACACAACACTGGGACTGGGACCAAACTGGACTAAACAAACTGGGACCAACACTGGACCAACACTGACTGGACCAAACACTGGACCTAACACTGGAACCAACACTGGGACCAACACTGGACCAACACTGGGACAACACTGGGACTAACACTGACCTTGGGACTAACACTGGGACAACACTGGGGACTAACAACTGGGACTAACACTGGGACAAACACTGGGACCAACACTGGGACTGGGACTAACACTGGGACTAACTGGGACTAACACTGGACTAACAAACACTAACTAACTGACTAACACTGGGACTAACACTGGGACTAAACACTGGACTAACTAACAACACTGGGACCAACACTGGGACTAACACTGGAACCAACACTGGACTACTGACTGGGACTAACACTGGGACTAACAACACTGGACTAACCAACACTGGGACCAACACTGGGACTAACACTGGGACCAACACTGGGCACTAACACTGACTAACACTGGGACTAACTGGACCAACACTGGGACCAACACTGGGACACTGGGACCTAACACTGGGACTAACAACACTGGGACTAACACTGGACTAAACAAACTACTGGGACCAACACTGGAACCAACACTGGGACCAAATACTGGGACCAACACTGGAACCAACACTGGAACCAACACTGAGACTAACACTGAGACTAACACTGGGACTAACATTGGGACCAACACTGGGACTAACAACACTGACCAACCCTGGGACTGAACAACACGGACCAAAACTGGACACACTGGGAACACTGGGGAACAACACTGGAACTAACACTGGGACTAACATTCGGACCAAAACTGGCACTAACACTGGGACCAACACTGGCATTACTAACACTGGACTAAACACTGACTGGAACCAACTGACAACACCAACAAATACTGGGACTAACACCTGGGACTGACAACACTGGGACTAACTAACACTGGACTAACACTGGGACCAACACTGGGACCACACTGGGACTAACAACACTGGGACCAATACTGACTAACCTGGGACAACACTGGACCAACACACTGGGACTAACACTGGGACTAACACTGGGACTAACACTGGGACCAACACTGGGACCAACACTGGGACTAACAACACTGGGACCAACACTGGGACTAACAACACTGGGACCAACACTGGGACTAACAACACTGGGACTAACACTGGGACTAACAACACTGGGACTAACACTGGGACTAAACACTGGGACTAACAACACTGGGACTAACAACACTGGGACCAACACTGACTGACTGGGACAACACTGGACTGGGACTAACACTGGGACAACAAACACTGGGACCAACACTGGGACTAACTGACTAACTGACTGGGACTAAACACTGACTGACTAACAAACACTGGGACAAACTGGGACTAACACTGGGACCAACACTGGGACAACAACACTGGGACAACAACACTGGGACTAAACTGGGACTAACAACTGGGACTAAACACTGGGACTAAACACTGGGACTGGGACAACACTGGGACCAACACTGGGACCAACACTGGGACCAACACTGGGACTAACAACACTGGGACTAACACTGGGACTAACACTGGGACTAACACTGGGACTAAAACACTGGGACAACACTGGGACCAACACTGGGACTAACACTGGGACTAACACTGGGACTGGGACCAACTGGGAACACACTGGGACTAACACTGGGACAACTGGGACTGGGACTAACACTGGGACTAACACTGGGACCAACAACACTGGGACTAACAACACTGGGACTAACACTGGGACTAACAACACTGGACTAACAAGGGACTAAACACTGGGACTAACACACTGGGACTAACTAACTGAATGGGACAACACTGGGACTAACACTGGGACCAACACTGGGACTAACAACTGGGACCAACACTGGGACCAACACTGGGACTAACACTGGACCAACACTGGGACCAACACAAGGGACCAACACTGGGACCAACACAAGGGACTAACACTGGGACCAACACTGGGACTAACACTGGGACTAACACTGACTGACAACTAACACTGGGACTAACACTGGGACCAACACTGGACTAACACTGGGACCAACACACTGGGACTAACACTGGGACACTGGGACAACAAGGGACTAACACTGGGACTAAACTGGGACTAAACTGGGACTAACACTGGGACCAACACTGGGACCAACACCAACTAACAAGGGACTAACACTGGGACTAACAACACTGGGACTAAACTAACAACACTGGGACTAAACACTGGGACTAACACTGGGACTAACACTGGGACCAACACTGGGACTGGGACAACACTGGGACCAACACACTGGGACTAACACTGGGACTAACAACAACTAACACTGGGGGACAACTGGGACTAACACAAGGGACTAAACACTGGGACTAACACTGGGACAACACTGGGACCAACACTGGGACCAACACTGGGAACAACACTGGGACTAAACACTGGGACCAACACTGGGACTAACTAACACTGGGACTAAACACTGGGACTAACACACTGGGACCAACACTGGGACTAACAAACAACAACACTGGGACTAAACACTGGGACTAACACTGGACTAACACTGGGACTAACACTGGGACAACACTGGGACTAAACACTGGGACCAACACACTGACCAACACACTGGACAACACTGGGACCAACACTGGGACCAACACTGGGACCAACACTGGGACTAACAACACTGGGACTAACACTGGGACTAACACTGGGACTAACAACACTGGGACTAACAACACTGGGACTAACACACTGGGACTAAACACTGGGACTAACACTGGGACTAACACTGGGACTAACACTGGGACTAACACTGGGACTAACACTGGGACTAACAACACTGGGACCAACACTGGGACTAACACTGGGACTAACAACACTGGGACTAACAACACTGGGACTAACAACACTGGGACTAACACTGGGACTAAACACTGGGACTGGACTAAACACTGGGACTGGGACTAACACTGGGACTAACACTGGGGGACAACACTGGGACTAACACTGGGACCAACACTGGGACTAACACTGGGACTAACACTGGGACTAACAACACTGGGACTAACAACACTGGGACTAACACTGGGACACTGGGGACCAACACTGGGGACTAACACTGGGACTAACAACCAACTGGGACCAACACTGGGACTAACAACACTGGGACCAACACAACAACTGGACAACACTGGGACCAACACTGGGACAACACTGACAACACTGGGACCAACACTGGGACCAACACTGGGACCAACACTGGGACCAAACACTGGGACAACACTGGGACCAACACTGGGACCAAACTGGGACAACACTGGGACTAACACTGGGACTAAACACTGGACTAACACCAACACTGGGACTAAACACTGGGACTGGGACAACACTGGGACTAAACACTGGGACTAACACTGGGATACAACAACTGGAACCAACACTGGGACCAACACTGGGACTAACACTGGGACCAACACTGGGACAACACTGGAACCAACACTGGGACTAACACTGGGACCAACACTGGGACCAACACTGGGACTAACACTGGGACCAACACTGGGACAACACTGGGACCAACACTGGACTAACTGGGACAACACTGGGACAACACTGGGACCAACACTGGGACTAACACTGGGACCAACACTGGGACCAACACTGGGACTAACACTGGGACCAACACTGGGACCAACACCAACACTGGGACCAACACTGGGACCAACACTGGGACCAACACTGGGACCAACACTGGGACTAACAATGGGACCAACACTGGGACTAACACTGGGACTAACACTGGGACCAACACTGGGACTAACAAACACTGGGACCAACACTGGGACCAACACTGGGACCAACACTGGGACCAACAACACTGGGACAACACTGGGACTAACACTGAGACTAACACTGACTGGACCCAACACTGGGACTAACACTGAGACTAACACTGGGACAAAACACTGACTGACTAACACTGGGACTAACACTGGGACCAACACTGGACCAACAACACTGGACTAACAACACTGGGACTAAACTGGGACTAACACTGGGACCAACACTGGGACTGAAACACTGGGACTGGGAAACAACACTGGGACTAACACTGGGACTAACACTGGGACTAACACTGGAACCAACACTGGGACTAACACTGGGACTAACACTGGGACTAACACTGGGACTAACTAACACTGGGACTAACACTGGGACCAACACTGGGACTAACACTGGGACTAACAACACTGGGACCAACACTGGGACCAACACTGGGACTAACAACACTGGAACCAACACTGGGACTAACACTGGGACTAACACTGGGACCAACACTGGGACTAACACTGGGACTAACAACACTGGGACTAACACTGGGACTAACAACACTGGGACTAACACTGGGACCAACACTGGGACCAACACTGGGACCAACACTGGGACTAACACTGGGACCAACACTGGGACCAACACTGGGACTAACACTGGGACTAACACTGGGACTAAGACTAACACTGGGACTAACACTGGGACTAACACTGGGACTAACAACACTGGGACTAACACTGGGACTAACACTGGGACTAACACTGGGACTAACACTGGGACCAACACTGGGACTAACACTGGGACTAACACTGGGACCAAACACTGGGACTAACACTGGGACCAACACTGGGACTAACACTGGGACCAACACTGGGACCAACACTGGGACTAACACTGGGACAACTAACACTGGGACTAACACTGGAGACTAACACTGGGACAACACTGGAACTAACACTGGGACCAACACTGAGACTAACACACTAACATTGGGACCAACACTGGCACCAACACTGGGAACCAACACTGGGACAACAACACAAGGGGGGAGGGGACTAACATATTGTATACTTTAGTTTGAAAAAGTCAAGTACTGGGGACTAAAATGAACACTGGGACTTCTCTACTGGGACCAACATCTCTGGGACTTCACACTGGGACTGATGCTGGGACCAACACTGGGACTACACTGGGACTAACACTCCATTAACACTGGGACTAACACTTGACCAACCAACACTGGCTTTAACTCTGGGACTAACAATTTTTACATGGTGTACAACAGAACAGAGGAAACCATTATCTAGTTTCACCCTGGGACCAACAGGACAAATTTTTTGTATGGGGCCTTGGAAACATTTAGTATGAAGAAGTAAAGTACCTGGAAACTACTTTTTGATGCTGTATATTGTTTCTCTCTCTAGACTTTATACCCATCCATTAAGTTGCAATTTGTGCTTTAACTTTTATGTCTCAATTATTACATGGCTAATTCTTTCTGAGATCAAATGTACAGTTCAACAGAACAGATACAGAATCCATAAATCTGTACATTCAAAAACTACGTCAACATGGATGTATAGAGGTTATGGAAGATATACAACATTTATTGGGAAAACACAGGTGGACATTTAATCAGGTTGCATCTGGTACTGTTAGCATGTCAAATATTCATTGGCTAGGGAAGAGGAGACTGAGCCCATGTAGGAATGTTCTGAGTGCATTGATGTCAATTTATTCTCAAAAATTATATATTGTTTCGTTCATTCTGTTTCAAACACTGTTAGTTTCACACACTGATTTGCTGACTGACTTTCTACCCCACCAAGAGATCACACAAGTGATAAACACCTGATAACACAATGTGCCACCATATGGATGAGGATCACAGTGGAGAGGTCCCAGAAACCGCATTCAGCCATTAGGTCATATTTATTGCCTAGCTATATTGCGGCCCCTGGCAAGAGCCAGGGTGGGGCTTCAAATTAAAATTTCATCCTAAAAAGGACAGCAAATAATTGTATTATTATTTCACACACTCCTTCTTTCTGGTACTTGAAATCTTTCTTTCCCATACAATTATTACTTTAACTCATGACATACTTACCTCTACAGACACGACCATCTCCTGAGTAGCCAGGTGAACACCGACACTGGAACGAGCCAGGAAGATTATAACATTGTGCATTAGGGTCACAAGTTCGCATCTGGCATTCATCAACATCTGGAATTAGTCGAAATTTGTCTCTCTTTATAAAAATTGTGCAAGATTTAACCTGATTTCAGATGTAGTATTAACATCTAAGTCAGTGAATTAAAATCTAGTCCAAAACAATTATTTTCAGGACAAAATCTCATAATCACTCCTCTGCATACTTTCTACAGTTCTCAAAATCCCATAATCTCTCCTCAGTTAATTAATAGAAATTGCTAATCTTTGGGTAGTGGATTGAGTGTGTAGTCTTTGCGGATAATTGTGCAAAACAAGATTTGTAAATGTTTTAAAAATTACTGTTACGATGTTTAAAAGCAGCAATCCTTTTTTGAAATTTTTTTTTTTTAACATGTCTTTAATGTTTATAGTACTACTGGCTACTGGAAGTAGGGGGGGGGGGGGGGGGGGGGGGGGGGGGGGGGTGGGGGGGAGCAGTCTTTGAGCATCATAATTTATGGCCACATGGATAGTGCAGTTATCACAAACTGCGGAAGCTCTGATGTTTATCCCCCACCCCCCACCTAAACAGAAAAAGCATCCATCACCTTACTAAAGATCTGAACCTGCAACTTGAATATGAGAGCCCAGCATTATAACTACTTGGCCAGCTATTCCTCACAAGCTTCTCTAATACTTTTAAACATGTGCACTGCAGCTGAGAGAAGAAAAAACACTTAATGTGACTGTGTCTGTACTAATACCTGCTTCTGTTACTTCTTCCTCTATCTTTTTCTTCTTCTTCTTCTATCTTTCAATGATGCAATGTTAGTAAGATTATCTAAATATTCACAGTAGATTTCCTATCTTTATCAAAACCTAAAAACGTATAAACAAGGCAACTATTAAAACAATAATATACATTGCATAACTGTCATAAATAAATAATTGCACAATATATAAAATAACAAATATATAATTTGAGAACTCTGAACAGTACTGTCTCGCAACACCAAGATCAAAATATATATTACGTCGATAAGACCAGTCATTTTATATGGCTCTGAAACTTGGAACACAACTAAAAGAAATGAAGCCTTATTACAGGTTTTCGAAAACAGAGAATTATGATAAATTTTTGCACCCATCAAAGATGCAAACAGCGGGATTTGGAAAGTGAGAAGCATTAACGAAATTAATAATCTGTTTAAATCACCATTGATCACTGGCATCATGAGATCTAATAGAATGAAATGGTTGGTGCATATTGAGAGAATGCCAGATGACAGAGAAGTGAAAACTGTATTCACAAGGGAGATTAATGGTCGTAGACCATGAGGCAGACCAAGAAGACGATGGAGAGATAATATCCAGACAGACCTACAAACACTTGATGTCACCAACTGGAAAGAGAAGGCCAACCAGAGAGATGAATGGAGGCGGGTGTTATCTGCAGCAGTGAAACTCAAGGGCTCAGAATACTGAAGAAGGAGAAGAAGAATAAACAATATTGCAATTAAAACCCTGAGGGTTAAGCAGCGTATTTTGTGACAATTAAAACCACTTTAATCTCCCATTGAAGCCTAGATTCTTGAGCAATGCACAGCAAATCATATTATAAACTGCTACTATTGGTTGGATTTACATTTACAGTTTTCAGGGGTAAGTTAGTTAATGGATACAGCATAATCTGTGTGGGTAAAGAGAGGAAACAGTCGAGTTCCTGAGATGACACACTCCTACGTAGATAACTGACAATTCTAAAGAGAATGAGTTCAGTTTAAAACCTTACTCCTTAGATGCTGAATCGGCAGCTTCTGCAAAATGTTTTGATCCAAACTTTCTGGTGTTATCTTTCCTTTGGAGAGAGAGAGAGAGAGAGAGAGAGAGAGAGAGAGAGAGAGAGAGAGAGAGAGAGAGAGAGAGAGAGAGAGAGAGAGAGAGAGAGAGAGAGAGAGAGAGAGAGAGAGAGAGAAAGAGAGAGAGAGAGAGAGAGGGAGATCATGATGCATAGGCAAGATATAGTCTCTATAAAACATGTCCAAGCTTTGTGATATAAAAATGACAAGAATTCCTTCCCCACAGCAGGATATAACACTACCCTCTGAAAAGATGGAAAGGTGCCAGTAAAAGTTAGCTAGTCTCATGACAAGCCTGACGGGTCTTCTCTGACATCATGGATGTTAAATTACAATGATTTTGTTATTTTCTTCATTTATGGGTTCCAGTAACAGATATCAGTGCCAAACATGGATACTTACATCCTCCAATAAACATAAAATTGTGACAACAGAGATGAAATGCCTTAGAAGAGCTGCAGGAGTTTCAAGGAAATACAGAATATGAAATCACAAAATCAGACGATTGCTAGGAGTAAAGCCTGTCTTACAGGTCATCAAAGAACAACAGATAAAGTGGTTCAGACACCTAACCAGAAAGCCCTGGTACTATCCGCCACAGCGAGCCACACTAAAACCTTACAACGGGTATAGAGCAAGCGGAAGACCACCAAAAAATATGGAATGATGGCATTATGAGCAGCCTTATAGAAATGAACATCAGTCTTAATAGTGCTCTTGCAGAGCTTATTAATGAATATTACATCTCCCCCCGGCACTTTGATGAGGTACTAGGTGGAAAAGAAGAAGAAGAAGAAAAGGAAGAAGAAGAAAAAGAAGAAGAAATAACAGATGCGTTTTTCTTATAATCTCATCATCATTATTATCCTCATATAAGACCATTTGTTATTAGGTCATCAGTTGCTACTGACTGTCTTACCACTTCCCTCCATCTTTGCTGGGCAAATGCAGTGGACCAGATGACCTGTTCAATGAACCCAATTCTGTTACCAGGTATGTCTAGGTCTGCCTCTTCTCCCTTCTCCCCTCTATGGAACCCTGTTGTATCATTCTGAAGAGTCCGGTAGCATCTAGTACCTGTCTGTACCATTGCATTTTTGATCTTCCCCCTCCCAACATAACAATAAAAGGTTCTTTATTAATATCCTACCCCAGATGACATCACAGGACAGTTAACATTTCAGAGGGTGGTAAGACTGGGTTTACCGACTTTCTGATGCTTTTCACGACCCAAAATCATCTAGAACTGGCCGTAACCCCAACTCACCTACATCCCTCGAGAGAGTGCAGCCTAGATCCCACGACTGCATGCAGCCTATCTACCACCCTCTGAAATATTAGACTATCCCGCAACCTGTGGATTTCCTCTGTTTGGGGTAGGATATTAATAAAGCAGCCAATAAAATATTCAGTATTCTAACAATATTGATTGAAAATTGCCTTTCATGACAAATAATTAATACAAATTTTTTTTTGTAAATGACACTGAATATGTGGTTAAAAGACCAGAAGTATTGCGACACCCTAGTTATTACTTTGCTTACCCTCACAGAGCCTACCATCCCCGGAATACCCAGTTTTGCAAACACATCTGTACGAGTCACCAAGAGGGACACAGTCTGCATTCTCAGCACAGACTTGAGAAGCTTCAGAACAAGGATCAGTTCCTAGAGCAAAACACAGTGTGAAACAATATATAATATTAAATGTCTTGACACAGTAGTACTACTTTCACGTTTATAGTATCCTTGGAAACCCTCTAGGTTTTGTTTGGGATGTATGGTTGTTCAGGTGAAGGATGAGACAGATATACAATCAGACGGCCACTGGTGCCATTAAAATTGGAACTCTTCACTTGCTGCTGTAGATGGGGACGGAGCACTTATGAGAATGTCCTGAGTGCTGTGATGTTGATTCTTAATTCAACATTTGATTGTTCATTGTATTGTGTTCATTATACCTTTTTATTCCATAAGTGGATGAACACCAGACACTTCCGCTGGAGTTTAAAGCTGGTGTATGTGGAGAAAAAGAAGGAAAGGTTACTTCTTTTCCTTCGCTTTGGTTGGAAACAGATAAGAGTAGCCTTATGGTGCTGCCTGGGCACAATTTGGAGTTACAAATCTACAAAAAGTATTTCAGGTTCCTGACCTGTGCTACAGAGCCTGTGCACTGTGCTGAGCTTCTTCGGACTCAGACTTGAGTTAGAAGAAGAACGGAGCACTTATTGGTTACTACCTGTGGGCCCTGATGTCAATCTGTTGTACAAATTCAAACTTCAATAACTTTGAAAAAAGTTTTTAAAATGTTCTTAAATAATTGTTGTCTTTTTTTTAATACTTTTTTTAAAGCGACCCAAGTAAAGTTGTTGTTTCTGAGATTTTAATTCAGAAATGTATAATTTTTGGGCACTTTCTAAAGTTTTTAAGAGGGAAAAGGCTTAACAAGAATATGACATCAGGTAACTAAAAAAGAGTTTGCTAAATTTGAATGTCTTTGAAACATCCTAATATCACAGCCTAACTGTAATATATAACAAAATATGCTAGCCATCATTTTTCTTCTTCGTTTTCTTCTTCGCGTTTACCAGCTGTACACTTTGGCGGAAAGTTCTGGTTGCTCGTCCACTAGTGAACTGCAGTCCTGCTCCAGAACCTGATTGTTGCATGTGCATCAGTTTTACAGATCTCATTCTCTTGAATACAGACTGTTGGTTCCTTGCCTCTCCGGCAGATGCACTCCGACTTCAAAGAAAGCTCCTCAATTAGTTGACTCTTACGACATGCTTTTGGGGAGGCAGTGGGTCTATTCTTGTTTTCCCCACAATGGGGCCCCGGAACCCACACGGGGGACAAGCCATCATTTTAAAGAAGTAAAAAAAAAAAAAAAAAGATATTTACCACCCCCCTCCCACCCACAAGCATGTCATAAAAGGGGACTAAGTACGGGTGGTTCTTAAGAATCAGAGAGCAACTGCCTAAAAGGATGGGAACCAACAGTCTGCATATAAACATATCAGATCGGTAAAATGTATGTGCATGGAAAACTCAAGGTCTGAAACCAGACCAAAGTCAAGAACCGGCTAAATACCCAGAACCTTCTACTGAGTTTATACTGTGTGAATGTAAATAAGGTGATAAAAACAACATAAACATTACCTGCAAACAGTCCAACTTTTGATGTCATGGCATATCTGACAACCTTATCTTGCTCACTGTGTTTGACATAATGTCGTGACACTGACAGTCTCATGACATCATTGGTAGATGTAAACTCCCCAGTGTCACATTCATTGAAGGTTATTGTATTGTCCCACGAGTACTGGTATGCAACATCATTGACTCTGTATGTGCGAGCTACGAACGACTTGATAGTTCCTGTAGAATAAAACATTGAAAAGAAAAGATTATCTATGTGAACGTAAAAATGCCAACATTTGTAAAAAGCAAAACTCTGTTAATAATTTTTTTACTCCCAAACAACATACTCTACTCAATGGACATCTAAACAGAATACAGTAACAACACTCCCAGAGTGCCAGCTATGTAACTACCCCTACGAAACTGTTGAACACCATCTCTTTGAGTGCCCAAAACTCAGCGAGACTAGAAGAATGCTACTTCCTCCGAGACCAGAGAGGTGGAACACCTTGTACGGAGGAAAAGAACAGCTTGTGAAAACATGCAAACTTCACTTCATGGCATTGGGCCATAAGGCGAAAGCTAATGCGCCCGCTGGATCGATAACAACAACAACAAGAAACAATAGCTTATCGCACAAGGTTAGGACAGAACAAGGAAATACGGAAATCAAAATACCTGGCGCTGTTCTCTTGTAGTTCTCATTATAATCATCGACAGAAACTGTAGCTCCAATGGGAATATCTGGCATGTTACCCTCAAGTCTTGTTTCCATAAGGATATTGTTTTGGCTGTCATGTCCTGAAAAAACCTGGTAAAGTCTGACAACATAATCCCCTCTGTCTGCTGACTTGAATGTTATCCGAGCTGTTCTGTTGAAAATCCCCCCTAGGAAATAAAAAGAATATAATTCACTTTTAATTTCAGTTTTCATTAAAATGCTATTAATATTCGAAGAAATTAATATTCTATAAAATATTTAGCAGTAGTAGCAATTTTCAACCAAATAATAACCTGTGCCTATTGTGCTTTTACCATATATTTTTGCTATTTTTACACATTGTAAAATCAATTCCGAGAGCCATGGTAGCATAGTGGCTAGATGATAGCCTGCCAGCCGGAATGCCTATGGTTCAAATCCACATCAGGCAGATTAAAAAATAAATGTCACATTGGCACCCAGGTCAACCTAGCCTAAAATGGATACCAGGAAATGTCTTGGAAAGTAAAGGAGGTCAGTATGGTGTTTACCACATCATCCATTGTGTGCTGATTGGTCTATCAAAAATCATAGGTCTTGAAATCTAAACCTGATGTGCCTAAGTTGTGAAAATTAGTTTTCTTTGCCTCATTTCTATAATAACCTTTTTTCAAACATTTGTAAAATTTGTTTAATTATTATTTGAAAAAAAAATTCTTCTGCTTTTACCTTGTGTCTTGTGGTTAGGATGGATACTGTAAATAAGTACTTAAGAAACATTCATGACACTGTAGCTAAATGATCATTTACCTGTGAAACTATAGCTTAATGACTAATGTACGAGTATATATGTACAAGAAATTCCAGATTGAGGACTTTTTCCATGAGCACAATCACTCCAGAAAACTCAACATGTAATGCAGACGTGCTCTCCACATGCAGCAGAAAGATCCAGGGTCTAGTCAGCTGGCTTTCAGGTAGGAACCAAACTGAATGGATCATTGGAGGAAACATGTTGCAACACAGCCTTCAAGCAGATCTGTGACCTCATCTGAAAACCACCGTCAAGGAGAACAAGTGGGTTTCGGGGCCCCTTTTATAGGAAAAACAAGAATAGTAGGAGTGCATATGCCTGAGAGACAAGGAACCAGCAGTCGCATACAAATGAGTCAGATCTGTCTTTGAATGCACATGCAACATTCAGGTGCCTGGAGGCAGGACTGCAGTCCAGTAGTGGATGCATACAACCAGAACTTTCCACCAAAGTAAAACAGCTGTGAATGTGAAGACTCAAGAAGAAGAAGAAGAAGAAGAAGAAGAAGTGGATGAAGAAGAAGAACTTTCCACCAAGAAGAAGCTGGAAGAAGAAGAAGAAGAAGAAGAAGAAGAAGAAGAAGAAGAAGAAGAAGAAGAAGAAGAAGAAGAAGAAGAAGAAGAAGAAGAAGAAGAAGAAGAAGAAGAAGAAGACGAAGAAGAAGAAAAAATATCAACAATTTACCTGTAACCAGGTGTGATGCTGACCACATCACCCACTAAAGGCTGATTGATCTATAAAATATAGGTCCTGCCCTATATGCCCCATACACCTGAAGGCGTGGAAGACGGTCCTTTACTTACTTACTTACCTGTAAAAGTGTATCCATTCTTTGCCCTGGCATTCATGGGAACAGCAAACAGCCAGCCAATGACTCCACCAATGGAGTTCAAAGTCTGCAGACCTGCTCCCAGAGTTGGGGGCACCTTGGAGATGGCACTGTAGGTTCTCCCATCAGCTGTTACTACATATGTATGCATCAGCAAATTATCATCCAGAGCTACTCCATTGAGACTTCCATGGACAGGTCCATTCAGCTTTTGGGGGACACCTGCAAAATAAATACTGTTGTTATTCTTTGGGAGATACTGCTGCAGGACTGTGAAGTGAGAGAAAATTGTGCACACTAACAGCGAAGTATTCACATAGTAGAAACTGCTGCCTAGGTTCCATCTGTTAGGTCTTTACTCAATTAAGCCCTCACAAAAATTCACATAGTAGAAACTGCTGCCTAGGTTCCATCTGTTAGGTGTTTACCCTCTTTAAGCCCTCACAAAAATTCACATAGTAGACATTGCTGCCTAGTTTCCATCTGTTAGGTCTTTACTCAATTTAAGCCCTCACACAAATTCAAATTTTAGACATTACTGCAGTTTCCATCTGTTAGGTCTTTACTCAATTAAGCCCTCACAAAAATTCATATAGTAGACATTACTGCCTAGGTTCCATCTGTTAAGTCTTTACTCAATTAAGCCCTCACAAAAATTCCCATATTAGACATTTCTGCCTAGGTTCCATCTCCTAATTCTTTACTCTTTTTAAGCCCTCACAAAAATTCATATAGTAGACATAACTGCCTAGGTTCCATCTGTTAGGTCTTTACTTCCTCTAAGCCCTCACAAAATGAACACCAGTCCAGGTAAGCATCACATGTTTTCATGGCTTTTTCTCTAGAAAAACAGATGCCGGTGCTTATTGGAAAATGTCAAATAAAGGTACTCACCTCTAAGTGATTATTACAGTTCCACTGGAAAAAAAAAATACCTAAAACACGTGCCTGTACTTTTTTCTGTGACATGACACACACACAAATCTTGCATATTTTATATAATTATGTAATTTATAATTGTTTTGTTTTATTTCTTTACATATTTGAATACATACATAATGTAGTCATTTCATCTTTTGTTGTTGTTGTTGTGGTTTTGTTTCTTATCATTGATCTGCTGATAAAGGCTTATCACTGCAACATCCTTTGTCTATTGTAATTATTCTTTACCTTATTAGTGCATTTAGCTTTCCTCCATATACTTAGTCGACTCTGTGACTAAGTCGATGCGAATGCTTCGTAATGCCTGGATGCCGGGTGCGATCCAGCTGTGGGCCATGGTTTTGACAGTTTTATCAAGAAAGCCGACCGTCCAGAAAGCAATGGCAAACTATTGGACGTACATTTGCCTACAAAAACCACACAACAGCCAGGGGCTGTTGGGGTTGGTTCTGCAACGTCCTGTAAAGGATACGCAACTAACCAACCATATACTTATGGGGATACGCAGCAACATAGTGGCTAGATGATCTCTTGCAGGCCTAAAGGTCTTAGGTTCAAATTCACACTGAGTTGCATGTTTTTTCAACACTGACCTTGGTACCAAGTAATGTCTAGAAAGATACCAGTGTGATATTCAACATTTCACAAACCGAGGGCCACATGATCGATACAAAAATGATGTAAATAACATTTTTTTTTTAATAAACGCCTTCTTATTAATTTAATTTAATATTACTGCCCATTATGTCTACATTACTCACCACAACCCCCCTCCCCCCCCCCAACTTTCCTTACGCATTTCTTAGTTGCATGTTGACCCTGATTGTTCAGAAGCTCTGTTTTTTTTTCAGTCACAAATTATGTTTTATTTAGTACTCTACTGACAAAGACTTTGACTAAATTGTTTTCTTGTATTTGTGCGCATCCTTTCTGCTTTTCCTGTTTAGCTATCTATTTGCATTTTCAGCTGTATTTAGCACTTTTTAAAAACAAATACGAGCAGCAGCATGTGCCTAATGCAGGATTGGTGTTAAAAAAAGTTTCCTCATACTTATCGATTAGGATATTTTTCTTCAAAAAAAAAAAAAAAAAAAAATCAAACATAAAAAGTTTCCTCATACTTATTAACTCTGATATTTTCTTGGACCCCCCCCCAAAAAAAGAAGAAAAAAAAAAAGAAAAAGGTGTACCAGGTTCCAAGCAGTGGAATCCATTTCCAAAATGGGGCGGCACACACACACAGCAGACGCCACCCCTGTGATCGATACACTGAGCATTAGCATGGCAGATGTTGGAGGTCTGGAAACAGCTGTCCTTGCCGGCAGCATCCACATCAAACACAGTCACTGCCAGGAGAGAGAAACAAGAGATTGTCAGTTCAATGGGCTGTATTTAAGCAATCAGTGAATATAAAGAGTATTTGAAACAGAATGGTAATTACAAAGATTAAACAACATCAAAAGTCTATGGTTAAGCACCAGCAAGGAGATACAAATTATAATTCTGAGAGCATGCATCCTCCCTGCAGCAAAATACGGATGTGAGTCGTGGACTGTCTCCTAGTCCTTAAGAAAGAGACTAAGAGCTTTTGAGCTGAAATGCTATAGAAAGATTCTCAGAATATCTTGGACAGGGGAAGAGGAGAAATACTGACATCTTGAAAGATCTGAACATCAAGGAAGATTGGCTAATAAACGGCATTCTGTCTCGGCAGCTGAAAAATTTTGGTCATATCAAGCGCCACGATGGACTGGAACAAATTATAGCAGAATGCATGGTACCAGGAAGGAGGGGCAGGGGCCGACCGACACGAAGATGGGCACAGGATAAAAGTGACTCCATCAGTTAGAAAGTACATGACAGGCAGGCAGGCAGGCAGGCAGACAGACAGACGTACGTACGTACGTACATACATACATACATACATTCTGAATTTCTGAGCTAACAAAATGGGGGTCATCTTATACATGGGATAATACTATACATATACACTACAACAGTACATTTGGGAATCTAGACACTACATGTTTACAATGAACTTATTAAAAATAGAATGATTAAATTCTTGAAGACTGTAAATTACAATCGGCGAATAAAAATGTTTTTGTAATCATAATTTGGAGGGCTTAGTTGTCTAAGGCATGGCGTCCACCTCGAGTGCTGAAAGTCCCGGGTTCAGGCCCCGGTAAGGTAAAGGCTGGGATTTTTTCACGTGGACTTCTAGTAATTTCCCCTGGTCTCTGGGTAGCAAGACTAAACCTCCCGTTTGTATTGTTGCGTACGTAAAAAAATTCCCTTAGCAGGTGGAAATCGAAAAATGTTGCATAACGGCGCTGCCCAGGCAAAATATGGAGTTGAAAATCTACCTAAAGTACTTCAGTCCTCGACCATGCAACAGAGTACATGCACTCTTCGGAGTGAGTGAGTGACTTTCTACCCCACCAGGACATCACACAAGCGATAAACCCCCGATGACACAACGTGCCACCATGTGGATGAGGATCACCGTGGAGAGGTCCCAGAAACCGCGTTCAGACATTTGGCCATAATGATGACCTGCCTATATTGCGGCCCCTGGCAAAAGCCAGAGTGGGGCTTCAAATAACAAAAAATTACGTCCTGAAAAGGACGTAAGGACTTTTTAACAATGATTACTCTTCGGACTCAGGTTCGAGCTAGAAGTAGAACTGAGCACTTAAGGGTTACTCCCCTTGTGCCATAATTTTGTATAAACCATAAACCGTTTTGTGATCAAATTTACCTTCTGCAATGCTGTAATCTGCAGGCCTAATGTTGCCCCTTCCTGTGTTGCCAATTTGGAACATCCAAACTCCAGGAATGTTTACATTAGAACCACTGTCAAAGTAAAACATGAATTTAAACTTCAGACAAGTCATAGGCATAACAACACTCAATATACAATTGTCTTGAAAAAAAGTAATTACGTATATTAAATAATAAATACACTCTAAGAACTCGTTGCACACTTTGTATCCTAGTTATAACCCTCAGGGCTACTGCTGCTGCTGTTACTACTACTACTACTACCGCTGCTGCTGCTCCTACTATTACTGCTGGTGGTGCTACTACTACTTCTGCTACTACTACTACTACTACTACTACTACTACTACTACTACTACTACTACTACTACTACTACTACTACTACTACTACTACTACTACTACTACTACTACTACTACTACTACTACTACTACTACTACTACTATTACGACTACTTCTACTACTGCCATTGCTGTTGTTGCTGCTAATCCTACTGATGGTGCTACTAATACTACTGCTTCTGTTACTACAACTACTACTAATGCTGCTGCTGTTTTTGTTACTACTACTACTACTGCTACTGTTGCTGCTGCTGCTGCTGCTGCTACCACCATCACCCCACCACTAACACCATTACTACTACATGCCAAGCTAAATAGATGTGTTGAAAATAGATGTGTCTGCAGTCAAGCTGATATCACTTCACAAAAGACACCCATACACTTCACAAAAGACATCCATACACATCACAAAAGACACCCATACACTTCACAAAAGACATCCATACACATCACAAAAGACATCCATACACTTCACGAAAACGACCCATACACATCACAAAAGACATCCATACACTTCACAAAAGACACGCATACATTTCACAAAAGACACCCATACACTTCACAAAAGACACCCATACACTTCACAAAAGACACCAATACACTTCACAAAAGACACCCATAACGCTTCTCAAAAGACACCCATACACTTCACAAAAGACACCCATACACTTCACAAAAGACACACCCATACACTTCACAAAAGACACCCATACACTTCACAAAAGACACCAATACACTTCACAAAAGACACCCATACACTTCACAAAAGACACTCATAAACTTCACAAAAGACATCCATACACTTCACAAAACACAGACATACACTTCACAAAAGACACCCATACACTTCACAAAAGACATCCATACACTTCACAAAAGACATCCATACACTTCACAAAAGACACCCATACACTTCACAAAAGACACACATACACTTCACAAAAGACACACTTCACAAAAGACACCCATACACTTCACAAAAGACACCCATACACTTCACAAAAGACACTCATACACTTCACAAAAGACACATCCATACACTTCACAAAACACAGACATACACTTCACAAAAGACACCCATACACTTCACAAAAGACATCCATACACTTCACAAAAGACACCCATACACTTCACAAAAGACACCCACACCTTCACAAAAGACAACCATACACTTCATAAAAGACACCCATACACTTCACAAAAGATACCCATACACTTCACAAAAAAACACCCATACACTTGCTTCACAAAATACGCCCATAAACTTAGTTAACAAAAGACTCCCACAGAGTTACTGACACGCATAAAATTACTTCAAAAAGTAATCTATAAACTTATTTTACAAAAGAAACCCATAATGAGTTCACAAATGACATCAGAAAATTACTCCACAAAAGAGACCCACATAGTTACTAATACCCATGACTCATTTCACAAAGATATCAATAAACTGACTTCACAAAGAGAACCATAGAAACTTCACAAAAGAGACCCATAAAGTTACTGACACCCATAAACTTACTTGACAAAGAGCTCATAAACTTACTTGACAAAGAGCTCATAAACTTACTTGACAGAGAGCTCATAAACTTACTTGACAAAGAGCTCATTAACTTACTTGACAAAGAGCCCATGAACCTACTTGACAAAGAGCCAATAAACTTACTTGACAAAGAGCTCATAAACCTACTTGACAAAGAGCCAATAAACTTACTTGACAAAGAGCCAATAAACTTACTTGACAAAGAGCTCATAAACTTACTTGACAAAGAGCCAATAAACTTACTTGACAAAGAGCTCATTAACTTACTTGACAAAGAGCTCATTAACTTACTTGACAAAGAGCTCATAAACTTACTTGACAAAGAGCTCATTAACTTACTTGACAAAGAGCCCATAAACTTACTTGACAAAGAGCTCATGAACCTACTTGACAAAGAGCCCATAAACTTACTTGACAAAGAGCCCATAAACTTACTTGACAAAGAGCCCATAAACTTACTTGACAAAGAGCCCATAAACTTACTTGACAAAAAGCCCATAAAATTACTTGACAAAGAGCCCATAAACTTACTTGACAAAGAGCCAATAAACTTACTTGACAAAGAGCTCATAAACTTGCTTGACAAAAAGCTCATTAACTTACTTGACAAAGAGCTCATAAACTTACTTGACAAAGAGCTCATAAACTTACTTGACAAAGAACCAATAAACTTACTTGACAAAGAGCCCATAAACTTACTTGACAAAGAGCCAATAAACTTACTTGACAAAGAGACAAGAAACTTACTTGACAAAGAGCTAACAAACTTACTTGACAAAGAGCTCATAACTTACTTGACAAAGAGCTCATAAACTTACTTGACAAAGAGCTCATAAACTTACTTGACAAAGAGCCCATAAACTTACTTGACAAAGAGCCCATAAACTTACTTGACAAAGAGCCAATAAACTTACTTGACAAAGAGCTATCAAACTTACTTGACAAAGAGCCAATAACCTTACTTGACAAAGAGCCAAGAAACTTACTTGACAAAGAGCCCATAAACTTACTTGACAAAGAGCTCATAAACTTTCTTGACAAAGAGCCAATAAACTTACTTGACAAAGAGCCCATAAACTTACTTGACAAAGAGCCCATAAACTTACTTGACAAAGAGCCAATAAACTTACTTGACAAAGAGCTCATTAACTTACTTGACATAGAGCCCATAAACTTACTTGACAAAAGACACTGTATCTGCAGATCCCGGGAGTTTATAGAAAAGACCCTCTCCCCCATCGATTCCAGCCTGTGCTGGCTTGTCATTGTACAGAGGCACAAACTTGCCCTGGGACGAGGTCCACTGGATCCCATTATCCAGGTAGTGGAAGAATGCGAAAGAGTCCTTACCGTTTGTTGTTATCACTAGTTGGAAAGTGTTTACCTGGGGATTCAGCACAAAATCAGTTTACGTATATGTTCTCACAATCAATGTCGTGGCACACTGGGTATTGCCATGCGTGCTCAGTCCCCCCCCCCCTCATGCAACAGTCACTCTAAGGTATCTCTACAGATTGATTCCATGAAAAGTTGGTTATAATAGCTGCTTTCTCAGCCTAGAGGGTGGCATAAACGGGCTTCATTGTGCTTTTCTCCAAGGTCAGGCAACCGTGTGCGTGTGAGAATGACTGTTAACGTATATGTCTGCGTGTGGATGTCAGAATGTTATCATTATCTACTAGCCCATTCCATACAGTGTTGATGCCCGTTTACGTATGTCTCTTCATGTGGGTTTCAGGGCTCCATTTTTGAAAACAAACAACAGACCCATTGCCCCCTAACAAGCATGTCGTAGGAGGCGACTGATTAGGCGTGTTCCCTTTAAAGTCGGAGTGCATATACTTGAAAGGCAATGAACCAGCAGTCCAGAATACAGAAATTCAGATATATAAAACTCAAGTTCTGCATCAAAACCATTGTCAAGAATTGAACGAACAACCAGAACGTTCCACTGGAGTTTAAAGCCGGTGAACATGAAGAAGTTAACGTACATAGGATGTGGCTATGGTGAAGTCAGCTGGAATTAAACATAAACTACAGACTCATCAGAACAAATGTCTAAGGAGAAACAAGATCACAAATGAAGAGCCAATGAAAATAAAATGTATGAATGTATGCAAGTTGTACTCTGCCAGGACTTAACACAAGCGATAAACACCCGGTGACACAAAGTGCCCCTATGTGGATGAGGATCACCCGTGCAGAGGTCCTGGAAACTCTGTTCAGCCATTAGGCCATATTTCAGACCTGGCTATATTTAGGGCCTCTGAAAAAGCTAGAGTGGAACTTCAAAATAACTAAAAATTGCATCCCATATGGGGACGACTATCTGATTTTAAAATGTTAAAGTTCATCACAGCTATCATTATCAAAGGAAGAAGGTGGGGATGGTTTAGACATGTTTTAATAATGCCCTGTAACTATTTGACAAATGCAGATCTCTTGTAGGCGACAGGTGGAACAAACCAGAACACACATTTTGGGGATCTTTGGTGCAGGGAGTGAAGGTGTGTTAGGAAATGAACAGGGTGACAGATTGGCTGGTTCTGCGCCAATGGGTGGTGAATTGATGCCTGACAAACTATATGCGGTCAAGGCCCTTCAGGAGCAATTGAACACTGTGGAAGCGCAAACAGATAATCGCTATCTGGAAAGAATGGTGCTGTGCGGAGGATCTGGCTGGCACTCAGAAGACAAACAAGATGGACATATAATCATACTGCTGCTAGCACCACTGAAATTGTAACTCTTCGCTGGCTGCTGAAGATGGGGTCAGAGCACTTATAGGAAAGTCCCGAGTGCTGTGATATCAGTTGTTAACTCAGCTTAGCTCAATTCTACAGTTACCACATAAACAATATTTGCCTGCAGACTTTAACAAGTTCCGTAATTGACTTCCTGTATCCTGGCAAGTGGGGGTAATTTTTACCCGTTGCGTTTAGTGAACATTTTCAATTCCCATGACTTTTTTTTTTTTCAGAGACACATGTTCTTTATTATTAAATCTGCTTCCTTTAATCTTTACACATTTTCCTTGAGTGCTTTCTAATTTAACTCACTTATTCCCCCACTCCCTCTCCCCACCTCCTTTCATTCTGAATCTCTCACTGAAATAATTTTTGTTTTAGTTGTTAAAAATTGTCGGCTCTGTGGCTAAGTCGATGCGAACGCTTTGTAAAACCAGGGTACCGGGTTAGATCCCAGCTGCGGGCCATGCGCCTTGCGTTGGTTTCGACAGCGGTATCAGGGGCCGACCGTCCAGTAAGCAATGGCAAACAACTGGACGTAAATTTGCCTAGAGAAACCACAAAACAGCCAGGGCTGCTGGGGTTAGTTCTGCAACGTCCTGTAAAGGATACGCAACTAGCCTGTTAGAAATTAGGTAGTCTACTACTTCCAGTGGGGAGCTGCGATAGTGTAGTGGCTAAACGTTCGCATGCTAGCCCGAAAGTGTTAGGTTAAATTTGTCAAAATTGTCTTTGGCTTCCAGTTTTTAAAAAAAAATCTGGCGTTAGTGCCATGTGGTGTAGCGGCTAGATGATCGCCTGCGGATATGAAGGTCACGGGTTCAAATCTGGATGCAGTCAAACTTATTTTCAAAAATGATCATGGCTCCCAGGTCGACCAGCCTCACACGGATACCAGATAAAGTCCTGGGAAGTAAAGGTGGTCGGTGTGATGCTAAATTTATAGGGAAACAGCAGATGAAGTGGTCTGGCCATCTCGCTGGAATGCAGCAACATCAGATACCATCGCAGGCACTGTCTTTCAGAAAGTCAGCTACAAGAGCAAGTGGACGGCTAGGAAAAACTACGAAACAACATTAAATACACTTTTAGCCTCCCGGCATGACAATAGCCAGTGTCACCTAGCATGCACTGGATCAAACAGTGTCCCTCCCCACGCCGCTTAATGGCAGGAGGGGTTTATTTTGATGATCATATGTAATACACCACAGCAACTTACGGGAGTTGCCGTGGCGGAGCGGCTAGACGCTAGCCGCGGATCGGAAGGTCGTGGATTCGCTCGCTGGCGAAGAAAGACTTCTTTTAAAAAAAAGACCTTGACTTCCCGGCCTTGAGTGGGTACCGGCTGCAGCCCCTGGAAGTAAAGGGGGCCGGTGTGATGCTGACCACATCACCCATCTTGTGCCGATTGGTCTATAAAACATAGGTCTAGCCCTATACGCCCTTTACGCCTAAAGGCTGGGAGAAAGGTCCTTTACTTTTTTTTTTAACTTACAGCAACTTACGGCAACTTACAGCAACTTGCAGCAACTTACAGCAACTTACAGCAACTTACAGCAACTTGCAGCAACTTACAGCAACTTACAGCAACTTACAGCAACTTACAGCAACTAACAGCTTTACAACGTAATAGTATCATGCAACTTGAGCAACCAGGTGACATTGAACAAAGAACTAGGGTGTGTAACAGCAAAATCCTCCAACTTACAGCTCGTATGTCCTTGGCAGCTCTCTGGATGAGGCTGGCGTCTGAGGTTGCTCTGAAATATTGGTTAGCTTTTTATAAGATAAATAACTTTTAACATAGGAACCCCGTTAGTGTATGCTGACTTGGTTCTGCAACATCATTTATCCACGTCTTTCTTGGTCTTCCTCTCGCCTTCCCCCCAGATGTTCTGCTGTAAAAAGTCTCATATACAGTTTGGTTGCATTTTCACTAGATGGCTGAATCATTTTATTATTTGTCTGTCAGTATAATCGAGGCAGGGATTTATTCCGACTTTCTCTCTAGTGCTGGTATTCGTAACCCTGTCCCTTCCTGAGTTGTTAGTGACCTTGCGGAGACAAAAGCTGTAAATAACAACAAAAATCGTGTCACATATTAGGGCAAAAACATGTGTGCACTACAACTGATTGATTGATGTTCGACCCAACAGGACTTCACACCGAGCGATAAACACCCGGTGACACAAAGTGCTGCCATTCGGATGAGGATCACCGCGAGACAGATCCCAGAAACCCTGTTCAACCCATAGGTTAGGTTATATTAGGGCCTCCAACCACATCCAGGGTGGGGCTTTAAAAACACACACACACACACACACAATGCGTAGAAGATTAGAACGTAACACCACAACTGGTAAGTAAAGTGAACCCCACCAGGACATCAAACAGAGCGATAAACACCCAGGTGACACAAAGTACCACCATGCGGATGAGGATCACATGTGGAGAGATCTCAAAAACCCCGTTAAACCGTTAGGTTATATTGCGGCCTCTGGAAACAACCAGGGTGGGGCTTCAAAATAACGAAAAATTGCGTCCCACATGGGACGACTTAGTATAAAACCACATCTCTCTCTCTCTCTCTCTCTCTCTCTCTCTCTCTCTCTCACAAGCGATTCGTCCCCCGACTGACACAAAGCGACCACCATGTGGATGAGGTCACCATGGAGAGATGAGGATCGCCGTGGAGAGGTCCCAGAAACCGCGTTCAGACAATTGGTCATATTTATGGCCTGTATATTGCGGCCCCTGGCAAAAGCTATGGTGGGGCTTCAAATAACAAAAAATTTCATCCTGAAAAGGCGGAAAGTTAAACCACAGCTGACCTCCACTACAACTCACCTGTAGAAGACTTGCCCAGTCCCTCTGGTATCTACATCAGCAAACAGTACAGCAATTACTGGGAGGTTTAATGGAATCTCCAGCTCAGCTCGATAGTCCGGCACCTCCGTGTCAAACGATACATGGCCGTTCAGATTAACCTGTGCCGGGGAAAAGTCAGGAAATGGAATGTCTGTCATTAATTACTGTAAGGAAGAGTTATATGTCATGCCAGGGGAAGTAAGTTGCTTGCCAGGGGAGGTAAGTTTCATGCCAAGGGGAGGTAAGTTTCATGCCAGGGGTTATCAGTTTAATTAGGTTTATACTAGTGCAGGGTAGAGGTTTATTGTTGGCAAAAGGATGCGTAAGAAGGTCTTATCATGGACAAGAAATGGTTTTCTTACATTAGGGAACTAAGTCTTCATCAGTAACGATAATTAGTTTCCAGGGGAGATAAACAATACCAGAGACACCAAGGGAACTATATAATCTTTGGCTGGGACGAATTGTGAATGCCATTTTAGAAGGCAATAGCAGTTCAATCAGGCACGCTGTCACAGAGAAAAATTGACCATTGGCGTAACCCTCACTCTCCCGCTTACCTGGGGGACTCAAACATTGTTTAATTGTGTAGTAACAATAATACTAGCAGAGAACTGAAATATTTTTATTTAGTAGTAGTATTGCTTATTAAACAAGGGCTATTTGCCATCCATATAGCACATTGAGGGAAGGGGTGTCCTAAAGTGGCTTGCATGCTGAAATGCAAATAAAATATAATAAATTTGAAATGTACATACGGTATGTGGTGGGAGTGTGAACGAGCTCCGTCCCCAAAAATTTGTGGGTGTGTGGGTGCGTGGATGTGTGGGTGGGGTGTCAGTAGATTAAAGGTACCTGAGCTCCATGTTGCGACACCTATAGGTTCAATGTTAATTAAAATTATGTTTGCTGCTTTCTAACCGCAGGGCGCCCAGTATAACTTGGCGTGCAGTTCAACAGGGTTGAACAACGACAATAACTTTTGGCGCAAAGTTCTGGTTTTTCATCTATTTCTGAATTTCAGTCTTTTTTTTGTTTGTTCTTGTTCTTGTTCTTGTTCTTCTTCTTCTTCTTCTTCTTCTTCTTCTTCTTCTTCTTCTTCTTCTTCTTCTTCTTCTTCTCCTTCTTCTTCTTCCTCTAAGTCTTCTTCAGTCTTCTTCTAATTCTTTCTTCTTCTTTCTTCTTCAGTTCTTCTTCTTCTTCTTCAAGCGTTGACCGGTCTTAACCTCCGACGAACAGTTTAGAAGTTGTTCATCCAATTTAGGACTTTGTCAAAGTTTTTCGTCTTCTTCTTCACTCTTCTTTTTCTTCTTCTTTTTCTTCTGTCTTCTTCTTCTTCTTCTTCTTTTTCTTCTTCTTCTTTTTCTTCTTCTTCTTCTTCTTCTTCTTCTTCTTCACATTCTTCTTCTGTCTTCTTCTTCTTCTTCTTCTTCTTCTTCTCCATCTTCTTTTATTTTACTGGCTGTAAACATTAGGGGAAAGCTCTGGTCGTTCGTCCGCTTCTGTACTTTGGTCTTGATCCAGAAGATGAGCTATGCCTGCACATTCTTTTTTTAAATATATGGCTTTTTTGTATGCTTACTGTTTTTTCTTTGGCTATCAAACAGATGCACTCCGATTTTTTAAGAAAATACCCAAACGGAATTTTTGTTGGGGGAGGGGGGGGGGGGTATAGAGTAGTCTTTTTTCTTTATTTAAATGGTGCCCCGGAAACTTCAAAAGGGGGAGGGGGTGTCGAGCCACAGACAAGATGGCTTTTAAAAAAAACAGCCCCTCCTAGGATTGACCCCAAAGACCTTCAGACAAGACCGACGAACGTCTAGCAACTAGGCTCCCGCAATGAAGGCTGTCCCAGAAAAAAAAAAAACGTCTATGGCATAAAATTCTACCAAAAGGCAACGCAAGCATCGGCGTAAGGATTCGACATTACAGCATTCAGAACAAGCCCATATTAGCTTCGTCTTCCTTCTCAACTGCCAGCGAAGAATCTCTATACTGATGGTATTCGTTGACATCTGGTTAACTACTTATCTTGTCTTTCTACCTTAATCTCGAGAGTTACGACACGCAGCATTATTACTTCCAGGTACTGGTTTTCAATATCTTCAGTCCCCGTGTGGGTTTCGGGGTCCCATCGTGGGGAAAACAAGAAAAGACCCACTGCCTCCCCAACAAGCATGTCGTAAGAGTCGACTAATTCGGGATCTTCCCAAGAGATAAACAACCGGTGACACAAAGTGACAACATGCGAATGAGGATCACCCAGAGAGAGATCTAAGAAACCCCGTTCAACCGTTAGGTTATATCAGGGCCCACTACTAGGGCCAGGGTGGGGCTTTAAAATAAAGAAAAATTGCGTCCCTTATCGGGACGACAGTTGTCATGCGCCACTGTCGTCAGTGGAGTCTTTTAATTGACTTGCAATTTCCCTAGTGAGAACGGCACAATAATTGTGCGTGTACCCAGTTATTCACCTCAATAACAACACGTCTCTAGTGCGTTCCCTCAAAGTGCAGTGGTCTTCAAACTTTTAAAGGTCGTGCTCCCTTTGAATATATGGCAAAACCCTATGCCCCATGACACTTTAAAAACAAAACAAACAAAAAAAAAATTATTGGGGGAAAAAGACGATAGAAAGAAAAATCCAAAGCACTTTTCACATCAACTTTGAAAAATATAAATTATAGAGATCTGCAGGCTCTGTGACTAAGTCGATGCGAACGCTTCGTAATGCCGGGTTTGATTCCAGCTGCGGGCCATGCGCCTTGCGTTGGTTTCAATAGTGGTATCAGGTGGCCGACCGTCCAGGGGTAATGGCAAACTACCGGACGTAAATTTGTCTAGAGAAACCACACAACAGCCAGGGGCTGCTGAGGTTGGTTCTGCAACGTCCTGTAAAGGATACGCAACTAACCTTTTTTATGGAGATCCGTTTTGTTCAGAATGTGTTCTTTATCCACAATTAGATGCACATGTTATCCGATTAATCAGACATGTAAAGGTCAGTTTACAAAGTGCCCACGATCAAAAAAAAAAAAAAAATAAACATGATTGTCATTTTTTTTTAAATAGTTTTAAAAATATGAACTAAAAAACAAATGTTACAACATTGTTGCTTGATGGCATCCTTGATACTCTCTTGCGCTTACCCCCCCCCCCCCCCCCACTAATCCCCCCGACGAAAATTCAGCGGCCCCCCCCCCCACCCCGCCCCTGTTTTGTCTTTGTCCAGGTTGAAAAGCTTTGTTTTATTGTAACAGACAGAGAGAAAGTTTGCTCCATCGAAACTGAAACTTTGCGCTGGTGCTGAAGATGAGGACGGAGCTCTTATAGGAATGTCACGAGGGACATGATGTCGGATCTCAGCTCACTCATTCATTCATTCATTATCCTGTTGTGCCATTACATGGCACAGAGGGCTCCCTGTCTATTCCTCCATTCTGTTCTATCCTGTGCAAACAGTTCATTATGGATGGAATCCAGTCCAGCACCTTTGGCCTCCCTCATTAACGTTCATCTTAGGGTTTCTTTTGGGCGTCCTCGTCTCCTTAATCCCGTTATTTCCGATTTTAGTGCCTGTTTGATGATTCTCTTCTGGTTTCTTCACAGAATCTGTCCAGTTTTAGCACCATCTTCACTGTTTTATGACTATTGGTGCTACTGGTTGCCAAGGCAATTCTCTTTTTTTTCTTCACTCCTTAGGAATTTATCATATTTCATTTTCAGCTTACAAACAATATAGAAAACAAGAAAGAAAACATCAACGCATTTTTGTGCGAAAAGGGGGCGGGAGAAGAAGGGGTGGGGGGGGGGGGGGGGAGACCCGAATACACCCAGTGTCCCTAAAAAGCATGTTGAATACATAAAAAAGTCGGCTCTGTGGCTAAGTCGATGCGAACGCTTTGTAATGCCGGGATGCCGGGTTCGATCCCAGCTGCGGGTCATGCGCCTTGTGTTGGTTTCGACAGTGGTATCAAGAAAGCCGACCGTATAGCAAGCAATGACAAACTACTAGATGTAAATTGGCCTAGAAAAACTACAAAACAGCCAGGGGCTGTTGGGGTTGGTTCTGCAACGTCCTGTAAAGGATACGCAACTAACCGTATACATAAAAAGTGACTAAATACTATTTTGCTGAAAGTAAATGTTTTGGGCTGAAAGATCTAAAAAATACATCCTAGCTGTAAATCACAACATTACATGCAAACCGCTCTTTTAAGGTAACGCTGAATAAAAGTCATGCTCTAAATTAAAAATATGACACTCAGAGTGTGTCTAACGTGACGTTTGACTATCCAAGTTTTTTTTTTTAGCGGCTGGATATTTTGTCACGCTGCCGTGTGAATAGTTTCAGTATGCAGATTATTGACGCCTATACGACTACGTGCCAATAGACAGAAGTGCCACACCACCCACGGACAGGCTAAACCTCTGCTTTGTAGTCAAACTTGTATAACCATCCACATAGAGTTAAAGGTGCTATATCACCCATATGTATGTGTGCGAGCACTCACGCTATAACCACACCTGTCGAGACTCAACCAGGCTCAGATAGTGAATACATATAGTAAAAAAAAAGTAAAGATCCCTTTTTACGCCTTTCGGCGCATCGGGCTCATGGGCAGATCGTCCCATATTTTTACAGACCATCAGCACTCTGTGGGTAATGTGGTCAGCATTACGCCGGCTGTCTTTACTTTCCCAGGACAGCCCATCCTGGTACCCATTTTAGGCTGGGTCGACCTGCGACGTCCCATACCACGACAAAAATCCACGCAGCCTGCAGTGGGTTTCGATCGCGGTATGCTGGCTTACGAGTCGGACTCGCAACGCCTTAGCCACGGACGCCGGGCGAATACATATACTAAGAAAGAAAACTGCAGAAAACACCAGAATGTAAGATTTCTGAAGTTGTTTGGACGAGACCTTCCTTCTAAACAAGAACATCCTCTACTGCTCCCTTCTCTGCATCATCCCACAAGGCATTCGACTCTTCTCAGATAAAGTTACATTTATATTTATTTCATCTAAGTCACCGGGTCACACCGGTGTGTTGGGAAATGAACAGGATGACAGACTGGCTGGCTCTGCACAACTTGGTGGAATACTGCAACATGAT